TAGTTTGTTAACAAGAAATTTGTGGAGTGGTTGAAAAACGAGTTTTAATGACTCCAACCTAAGTGTATGTAAACTTCCGACTTCAACTGTAGGTTCACAATATTAACATTCAATGTATCAAAATATATGATCATACACAAGGAATGTCATAAATATTTACAGTAATATACATACACATACAATATCAATTAGGATTTTTTTTAAACACAATTTGGACATTTTGAAACTATAAAAACAGTTTCAAGTCAAACTCCTCATTAAGGCCAAGAGGAGACAGTGTGTTGAGCCTGTGGATCCAGAAATATTCCCTTTGAAGAAGTTTCCTCTCAATGTCCCCTTCCCTGCGTAACATCTTGACCATTTCTATTCCAATGTATCTCAGAGAACTAATAGGATGTCCAGCTTGTACAAAATGAACAGCAACCTGATTTTTTGTCTCACCTGTCCGTATATTGCTGCGGTGCTCACTGATCCATGTCTTAAGGCTTCTACAGGTTTTCCCTATGTAAAACAGACCACAAGGACATTTCAACATATAAATAACATTGGTGGACATGCAAGTAATCTGGCATTTCAACTTAAATCTTTGTCCTGCGCAGGGGTGGGTAAATGAGTTGCATTTGTACGTGAAGCTGCATTGAGCACATTGGCCACATTTGTAATTACCCTCCGGAACCTTGTCCAAGAAAGTTTCCCTTTTCTCTGGTGGGTAATCAGATTTAACCACAATATCTCTCACGTTTGGGGGTCTTTTAAAGACCATACCTGGGGGATATTTAAAAATGGGTTTCAATTGTGGGTCAGTATCAATAATGAACCAGTGCTTCCTGATAATGTCCTTAAATGCCTTCCCCAATGGTGAGTATTGGGTGAAGCATGAGGGGACATGTTCTGCTTTTTCTTTAACTTTTGTTTGAAGGCTTTCCAACTGTGTTAGTCCTTCAAAACGATCATTGGCATGTTTTACCCAATTGTCTTTGTACCCCCTTTCCTTAAACCTTTGTGTGAGGTCCGTGGTCTGTTTCCCTCCCCACGTATACTAGAGACTCTATTGATTTTATTAATTTTTTGAAATCTGTGGACCATATCCTGAAAACTATATTCTGTGTACTTTTGATGATACCAGTCTATATACTAAGATCCCCCATCAGGGAGTCCTAGAGGCCCTCAAGTTCTACCTCAATGAACGTCCCCCTAATGCTCTTCCCAGCACCAGTTGTATTGTGGACCTGGCTGAACTGGTACTAACCTCCAACTATTTTCTCTTCAGAGGATACTTTTTCCTCCAGACCAAAGGGACAGCGATGGGGAGCACTATGGCCCCTAATTATGCTAACCTATATCTAGGAATGTTTGAAAACAGGTGGTGCAGAATCCAGACCTTAACCCTTTTCTCTCCAATATTCTTCTAATTCAGAGATATTTGGATGACATTTTCGTGATCTATACAGGGACCCAGGAAGAACACCTTAATTTCACCATTAACTATGACCTATCACAAATCAGTTTTCTTGATGTGATGTTTATTAAGGACAAAACCTCCCTCTCTACATATTTCTATAGGAAACCTATGGACAGGAATACCCTCCTTAGAGGTGACAGCTTTCATCCACGTCCACTTATTAAAAGTCTCCCTTTAAGTCAATTCAGTCGCATCAGAAGTATATGCAGCTCTGATGCTTCTTATCAGAAACAGACCACGGACCTCACACAAAGGTTTAAGGAAAGGGGGTACAAAGACAATTGGGTAAAACAGGCCAATTAATGTTTTGAAGGACTAACACAGTTGGACAGCCTTCAACCAAAAGTTAAAGAAAAATATCCCCCACGTATGGTCTTTAAAAGACCCCCAAACGTGAGAGATACTGTGGTTAAATCTGATTACCCACCAGAGAAAAGGGAAACTTTCTTGGACAAGGTTCCGGAGGGTAATTACAAATGTGGCCAATGTGCTCAATGCAGCTTCACGTACAAATGCAACTCATTTACCCACCCCTGCACAGGACAAATATTTAAATTCAAAGGCCTGATTACCTGCATGTCCACCAATGTTATTTATATGTTGAAATGTCCTTGTGGTCTGTCTTACATAGGGAAAACCCGTAGAAGCCTTAAGACATGGATCAGTGAGCACCGCAGCAATATACAGACAGGTGAGACAAAAAATCTGGTTGCTGTTCATTTGTACAAGCTGGACATCCTATTAGTTCTCTGAGATATATTGGAATAGAAATGGTCAAGATGTCACGCAGGGGAGGGGACATTGAGAGGAAACTTCTTCAAAGGGAATCTTTCTGGATCCACAGGCTCAGCACACTGTCTCCTCTTGGCCTTAACGAGGAGTTTGACTTGAAACCATTTTTATAGTTTCAAAATGTAAAAAAAAAAAATCCTAATTAAATATTGTATGTATAGTACTGTAAATATTGATGACATTCCATGTGTATGATCATATATTTTGATACATTGAATGTTAATATTGTGAACCTATGTTATAAATTGTTTTACCTCCTGTTTCAGGAAGTGATGTCACTGAGTACTGCCCCTATATATAGGACCTTCCACCCCCACCTGGGATATGGATGTCTGATGAAGACCTAAGGGTCGAAACGTTGTTAAAAATAAATATCACCTGGGAGCATGAGCAGCAGTGTGCGGCATTTTCTTTTCTATTTTCCACAAATTACATTGATCAACTTCAAATTCTATTTGATTATATCTACTTCTGTTTCTCTAAAGGGTGAAGTGGGGCCCATTGGCATGAAGGGATTGCCAGGCCTTGAAGGACCCATGGTGAGTCCTTTGTGGATGAGCTGCATGTTACTCTACATTTTCATTTGGAGACATGCGGCTGAAAAGAATACACATTGTAGGATAAAACCCACACAATAGACATTCTGCATGGCATAATCAACTTGCCAATATAGACTGTCATAGATGCATAAGGTTGGATTCCCCAGTGTCTCCGGGATATTGTTTTTGTAGAACGAAGGTCAGCTGTAGTGACTTTTTAAAAGGATATTCTTCCAGATTTGTTCTTTTCCTTTTTGGGGGGTTGGGGGAAGCTATAAAACTGCATATATCTTTATCTCTGCCCCATGGCAAAATGTGTAGAATTGCATGATATTAGCTACAGTGCCTTGCAAAAGTATTCAACCCCCTTGGCGTTTTTCCGATTTTGTTGCATTGCAACCTGTAATTTAAATTGATTTTTATTTGGATTTCATGTAATGGACATGCACAAAATAGTCCAAATTGGTGAGGTGAAATGAAAAAAATAATTTGTTTCAAAAAATTCAAAAAAATTAATAACGGAAAAGTGGTGCGTGCATATGTATGTTCACCCCCTTTGCTATGAAGCACCTAAATAAGATCTGGTGCAACCAATTACCTTCAGAAGTCACATAATTAGTTAAATAAAGTCCAGCTGTGTGCAATCTAAGTGTCACATGATCTGTCACATGATCTCAGTATATATACACCTGTTCTGAAAGGCCCCAGAGTCTGCAACACCACTAAGCAAGGGGCACCACCAAGCAAGCAGCACCATGAAAACCAAGGAACTCTCCAAACAGGTCAGGGACAAAGTTGTGGAGAAGTACAGAAGAGGGTTGGGTTATAAAAAAATATTTGAAACTTTGAACATCCCACGGAGCACCATTAAATCCATTATTAAAAAATGGAAAGAATATGGCACCACAACAAACCTGCCAAGAGAGGGTCGTCCACCAAAACTCACAGACCAGGCAAGGAGAGCATTAGTCAGAGAGGCAACAAAGAGACCAACGATAGCCCTAAAGGAGCTGCAAAGCTCCACGGCAGAGATTGGAGTATCTGTCCATAGGACCACTTTAAGCCGTACACTCCACAGAGCTGGGCTTTACGGAAGAGTGGCCAGAAAAAAAAGACATTGCTTAAAGAAAAAAATAAGCAAACACATTTGGTGTTCGCCAAAAGGTATGTGGGAGACTCCCCAAACATATGGAAGAAGGTACTCTGGTCAGATGAGACTAAAATTGAGCTTTTTGGCCATCAAGGAAAACGCTATGTCTGCCGCAAACCCAACACCTCTCATCACCCCGAGAACACCATCCCCACAGTGAAGCATGGTGGTGGCAGCATCATGCTGTGGGGATGTTTTTCATCGGCAGGGACTGGGAAACTGGTCAGAATTGAAGGAATGATGGATGGCGCTAAATACAGGGAAATTATTGAGGGAAACTCTGTTTCAGTCTTCCAAAGATTTGAGACTGGGACGGAAGTTCACCTTCCAGCAGGACAATGACCCTAAGCATACTGCTAAAGCAACACTTGAGTGGTTTAAGGGAAACATTTAAATGTCTTGGAATGGCCTAGTCAAAGCCCAGACCTCAATCCAATTGAGAATCTGTGGTATTACTTAATATAATATAATATGCCATTTAGCAGACGCTTTTATCCAAAGCGACTTACAGTCATGTGTGCATACATTTTTACGTATGGGTGGTCCCGGGGATCGAACCCACTACCCTGGCGCCATGCTCTACCAATTGAGCTACACAGGACCACACTTAAAGATTGCTGTACACCAGAGGAACCCATCCAACTTGAAGGAGCTGGAGCAGTTTTGCCTTGAAGAATGGCTAGATGTGCCAAGCTTATAGAGACATACCCCAAGAGGCTTACAGCTGTAATTGCTGCAAAAGGTGGCTCTCTGTTTTATTGTCTTATTTCTTGTTTGTTTCACAATAAATAATATTTTGCACCTTCAAAGTTGTAGGCATGTTGTGTAAATCAAATGATACAAACCCCCCCAAAATCCATTTTAATTCCAGGTTGTAAGGCAACAAAATGGAAAAATGCCAATGAGGGTGAATACTTTCGCAAGCCACCGTAGCTACATACACTGGGATACATTGTGAATCTAAAGCATCTGTGTGACCTTACGAGTGAAACATATCCACATTTCACTATCTCTTTCTACCCCCTCTCCTCTCTGTCTTTATCTGTCTGTATTTTAGGGAACTGCTGGAATTCCAGGTCTGAAGGGGGTTCCAGGTTGCACGGTAAGATGTATAGAATTATTATCTTGTTTATTAAACAGAAGTGGCATCATTAGAGAGGTGTGATGTTCTATTTTATGATTCCTATCTGATCAGATCTGACTTTTCCTGTAGGGCTTCAGAGGACTAGATGGAGAGAAAGGAGATAGTGGACCCAAAGGAGACAGGGTAAGGACTTGATTATTGGTTTGGAAAGCCTTCTCTTGGAAGCAGTAGTAAATGAATCATGACGGTCACAAAGGTCATGTTCATGAAGCTCTTGTAACATGTTTTTTTCTGAAGAACATCAATCTGCATATCATATGGTGTTTTGATACCATTAGTATTTATTTCCTCAGAGTTCTGTTGGTGCGTCAGGGATCCAAGGCAGTCAGGGTAAGAGGGGTCAGAGTGGCCTCTCAGGGCTTCCTGGTCTCAGAGGTCATGCTGGTCCCCAAGGCATCCAGGTAAACATCAGGATCACACCTGCAATTCACAGCCTTTATTAACATAATACAACTCTGCCTATCCTCCTACTGTACCTCAATTTGCTGTTACATACTGATGCAGGGTGAAGACGGAGAGATCGGCCTCCAGGGAGGTGTTGGAAAGGAAGGGTCAAAGGTAAGGAGAGTTTATTGCAGTCTGGAGGAGTGATTACAACAAACTAGACTTAGAATGACTTTTCCTGAGGGAACTTCATTTCTCGAGGGAACAACTAGAGCTGTGCTGTTAGATCTCTCCTCTGTTCTAGTCTACATGCACCTGCATTAAATGAGCCAATATTGTATGGTCAGCTTCCCAAAGATAATAGCTGTATTTAGTCATATAGAGTTTGAATACTGTACAATACTGACTGAGATTTTGATGCACAACCAAGCTATGTCATGTCATTTTCTTATACATTGGCATCACATGTCATATCATACAGACTGATAATCTTGATTTTGAATGTCTCTCTTTGTTTGCTCCTAAGGGCCACAGGGAGCTCCAGGCCACAATGGGAAGTCAGGACCTAAAGGACCCAGGGTAACTGTCTCCTGTGTCATCTAATACAGGGGTTTTCAAACTTTTCTTGCCCAGGGACGCCCCCCAAGCCAAACCGGCGACCCAGGGACCCCCATTATATGTTAGAAAAAAAGAAAAATCATGTGTTCTCTTATAATCAGGTGAATGATAAAGGTAAGTAGAAGTAATCAACATTTTAAAAATGAATAGTTTCGACAGTTTCATTATTTTGACCTCCCCACAGTCCATTGACAGAGGAAGTGTAAACTCTAACATAGTCTATTAGCTAGAAAGATATCTTGGTGGTGTTTTTTTCCATTGAGCTGAAAGAAAATGTTGCCGTTTTGAAGCTAATTTCCAGCAATTCTACACAGTTTGGTATGGCTAGTGCTGTGTTCCTCTGCTCAGACATTATAACAAAACCAATGGGCATGTGCCCTGAATGCCTGTTTTTTAAAATAAAAACCAAACTAATAAAATATATACAGTGGGGAAAAAAGGTATTTAGTCAGCCACCAATTGTGCAAGTTCTCCCACTTAAAAAGATGAGAGAGGCCTGTAATTTTCATCATAGGTACACGTCAACTATGACAGACAAAATGAGAATTTTTTTCCAGAAAATCACATTGTAGGATTTTTAATGAATTTATTTGCAAATTATGGTGGAAAATAAGTATTTGGTCAATAACAAAAGTTTCTCAATACTTGTTATATACCCTTTGTTGGCAATGACACAGGTCAAACGTTTTCTGTAAGTCTTCACAAGGTTTTCACACACTGTTGCTGGTATTTTGGCCCATTCCTCCATGCAGATCTCCTCTAGAGCAGTGATGTTTTGGGGCTGTCGCTGGGCAACACAGACTTTCAACTCCCTCCAAAGATTTTCTATGCGGTTGAGATCTGGAGACTGGCTAGGCCACTCCAGGACCTTGAAATGCTTCTTACGAAGCCACTCCTTCGTTGCCCGGGCGGTGTGTTTGGGATCATTGTCATGCTGAAAGACCCAGCCACGTTTTATCTTCAATGCCCTTGCTGATGGAAGGAGGTTTTCACTCAAAATCTCACGATACATGGCTCCATTCATTCTTTCCTTTACACGGATCAGTCGTCCTGGTCCCTTTGCAGAAAAACAGCCCCAAAGCATGATGTTTCCACCCCCATGCTTCACAGTAGGTATGGTGTTCTTTGGATGCAACTCAGCATTCTTTGTCCTCCAAACACGACGAGTTGAGTTTTTACCAAAAAGTTATATTTTGGTTTCATCTGACCATATGACATTCTCCCAATCCTCTTCTGGATCATCCAAATGCACTCTAGCAAACTTCAGACGGGCCTGGACATGTACTGGCTTAAGCAGGGGGACACGTCTGGCACTGCAGGATTTGAGTCCCTGGCGGCGTAGTGTGTTACTGATGGTAGGCTTTGTTACTTTGGTCCCAGCTCTCTGCAGGTCATTCACTAGGTCCCCCCGTGTGGTTCTGGGATTTTTTCTCACCGTTCTTGTGATCATTTTGACCCCACGGGGTGAGATCTTGCGTGGAGCCCCAGATCAAGGGAGATTATCAGTGGTCTTGTATGTCTTCCATTTCCTAACAATTGCTCCCACAGTTGATTTCTTCAAACCAAGCTGCTTACCTATTGCAGATTCAGTCTTCCCAGCCTGGTGCAGGTCTACAATTTTGTTTCTGGTGTCCTTTGACAGCTCTTTGGTCTTGGCCATAGTGGAGTTTGGAGTGTGACTGTTTGAGGTTTTGGACAGGTGTCTTTTATACTGATAACAAGTTCAAACAGGTGCCATTAATACAGGTAACGAGTGGAGGACAGAGGAGCCTCTTAAAGAAGAAGTTACAGGTCTGTGAGAGCCAGAAATCTTGCTTGTTCGTTGGTGACCAAATACTTATTTTCCACCATAATTTGCAAATAAATTCATTAAAAATCCTACAATGTGATTTTCAGGATTTTTTTTCTCAATTTGTCTGTCATAGTTGACGTGTACCTATGATGAAAATTACAGGCCTCTCTCATCTTTTTAAGTGGGAGAACTTGCACAATTGGTGGCTGACTAAATACTTTTTTTCCCCACTGTAGTTCAATATCTTTTCTGCATGCTTTCTATCTGGTTTGGTCGTGTAGCCCTTTAAACTCGTACCGGTATACGGGTTGAAAATGGCATATTTAGGCACTGATAAGCACCTAAATTAGAACACAGTAGCTGTACAGTGGCATGCTATAAATGACGTCAGAGCTCAGACTCTGTGCTTCACTGTGCTGTATAGGTTTTGACTGAAAGACATTCTGAACTTGAACACTGCATGCAACAAGTAGTTGCATCCATCCCTCCCCCTAATTGGGCAAATTTGGCAAATTTTTTGTTGTCTGAGTGAGGAAAATGCTGTAAATTAAAGGGGACTAGTGTCACGCCCTGGCCTTGAGAGCCCTGGTTGTCTTTAGTTGGTTTGGTCAGGGTGTGAATTTCTATGTGTATATCTAGTTTTGTATTTCTATGTTGGCCGGGTGTGGTTCCCAATCAGAGGCAGCTGTCAATCGTTGTCTCTGATTGGGGATCATACTTAGGCAGCCATTTTGCCTACCTTAGTTGTGGGATCTTGTTTGTGTTCCTGTTAGGCTTGTTGTGTGTATAGCCCATAGGACTTCACATTTTCGTTGTTTTGTTATTTTGTCAAGTGTTTATTCGTATTAATAAATATGTACGCATATCACGCTGCACCTTGGTCTGACCCGTCTCTCAACGAATGTGACAACTAGATATATTTTGAAAGATGAGACGTTGAGAATTATAATAAATATCACTTTGATGTCATACAAGCAAGCCAAACACCCATGAGTCCAAATGTGCACTTCACATTTCCAATCATAAAACTCATTTCATATACCGTGTCAACGTTTATGCTCACTATGTTTGATGTACAGTTACAAGATGACATGGCATCATAACCTGAGTTGTTCTGAACAGAATGAGCCTGTGTTTGTCTATTGTGAAGAAAATTCGCTGCGGAACACGCACCTGAATGCATGCATGACTCCATTCTATGCGCACCAAAATTACGATCTGTTTCTCTTAATTGCCCTGTGAAAGTCTAACACTGTAAGATCACATTTTATAACTTTGCTAGTCATGTTGGCAATAGAACAAGCTTTCAAATGCTGCCCACCTGACCCAGAATACGATTTATAATGGATGGTTTTTGGATTGCGTAAACAACAACAGTAATTGTGTGATGACGGGGATGCAGGGTTGTGTTCCAAACAAAACAACTACAAGTGTGCTTGCTCTAATTCCTCAATGGCACAGCTAGGAGAGCTCTAAAATTCACCTTATAGATGAAGACTCTTCTTTGAGCCATAAAAGTGCATTGAAATTACTTAGAAACTGTGCACACTTTGGAGAGGTGTGTGGCCACTTGGAGACACCAGTTAGTCCTCTCACTCAAACCCTTGTCATTTTTTGTCTTATGTTGCACCTACCCCACATTTTCCAGGAAAAATCTTATGTTACTGAATGCATCCAGAGTATTTTAAGATTTCGTTATCAACAAATACGGCAAAAAGTACAGTAAATGTAAAATCTAAAACGCACATAAAATCAAGTGTAATGTTTGGATTCAGTCTTGTGTCAGGTGAACTGTTGTGTCAGTCTTGTGTCAGGTGAAAGTTGTATCCACGATGGTATTCTGTTACAGCTAGCGATATTCATAAAATATATATATTTTAAAAAACAATTTATAATAATTTGCAGACCCCCTGCGCCGCAGACTCTCGTTTGAAAACCCCTGATCTAATAGATCATCTTTGTAGATAAAGGACTATACCATCTGCTGAAGGATGTTGTTGGGAGATTCATCACATTCTCCCTCTGATGTCTTCTATTTCCAGGGTCGTACTGGACAGCCTGGTCTTTTTGGTATACCTGGAATCCCGGTAAGGGAAGAGTACTCATTCTCATATGAATATTACCTAACAGACAAACCTTGATGGATACTGTAGCTATAGTAACAATCAGCTCTCCTTGCTGTGTGTTTATGTGTGCCAGACGTGTTTGTGTCTATGTCTGTGTGTTCTGTTGCAGGGTTTTAGAGGCCACATTGGGACTGAGGGAGCAGAAGGAAAGCCTGGTACACAGGTTCCCATTTTATAGCTTTTCATATTTTAATATCACTTATCATGATTTTCAACTGACTCCTTAATTGTCTAGTGTGTATTTCCACTTTAGTTCCTTGAACAGGTACTAACTCAGTTACTTCAACCAACCAATAAATAGCCTAAAAACAAATACATGTGTGTGTACAAATGAATGTATGACATGATAAAAGAGAATAGTGTAATGTGTAATTGACAGGGTGCTCCTGGCTCTGCTGGCATTCCTGGATCTAAAGGAGACAGAGTGAGTCATATTCCTGTAACCAATCAGCTCTAAACAAGTAGAGGTCAACAGTAAAAAGGATAAAAACACAAAAGGCTCAATCATCACTGAACTCTCATAAACCTGAGCAATAAAGAGAGGAAGTGTGAGTTGTTGGTTGGTTAGAAAATATATCAGATTATCCTTAGACAGATGTAATCGCCTGCCTGTGGACCTGTGGTGGCTAGTGCTGTTACAGCTCTCCTATTTATAGGAGCACGTAAATGTCAGTCAAGACGAGATTGGGTACCAGTAAAAGGTTTTCAAAGCCCTGAGAATCCCCAGGGGTTTGTAGGCTGAGTCAGTCCGTGTCCTTGTAAGACACATTCAGCATTGCGCAGCCAAGGATGAGCTGAGGTCATCAACACTGCTTTGTAAGGTCTTGATCTGTGATGCTGCTAGGGCACATTGCATTAGGGTGTTGATTTGTTGCTACAGGGTTGTAAATTCAACAGTCAATGTGTGTTTAACCTCCCTTGTCTCTGTCATAAATCCAGGGATTCTCAGGTCTGGGGGCAGAGCCAGGACGAGCAGGTCCCCCAGGTGCTCCTGTATGTCCAACAAAAAATATAATTGTTGAATCTGCACATTCTGTCACCGCCCTCAACTCCTACTCATTCTTACCTTCTGTTTGTAACTATTTCGTGATTTTAACAGGGTCCTCCAGGAAAGTCTGGACAAGATGGCAGTCCTGGGCCACATGGTGATAGGGTGAGTACTGTAGGCCAAAAGCCTCTGTCTCAAAACGAAATATGACCTACATTTCTCAATGTTAATGAGTCTCTCTCTGTTATCTAGGGCTTCACAGGGAATGTTGGCATGGAGGGTCCCCAGGGGCCAGTGGGCATGTATGTAAGTGTTACCAGTCCACCCCCAAAAGGTGTTTGAGTGGGCTAGTGGGATTACCAGCCTACATTTCATTTATCTTAATGTTTTAGAAAATTATTTTGTATAATACCGCTGTGAGTTCATGCTCTATAAGTGTTACTGTAATCTTTTCTTTTTCAAAGCAAAGTGTAAAAGATAGATGTTTAAACCAATTATTATCATAATCTTAGTGTAGTGGTACCTACTGTTGCCAACAACTAACTTTTTGTGGACCGATTGTAACTGTGGAAACCCATTCCTTGTACAGGGTTATCCAGGAGCAGTGGGTTTAACTGGGAGACCTGGTCATTTTGGAGAGAGGGTAAGAACCCCTACAGTCCTATAGAATGTTAGCATTGGTATGTTAGTAACAACGGTTGTTCGTTTGCATGAATGCCACCTGCCTGTCTTTCTACCTCAAGGGAGACCCTGGTGTGAGAGGCTCCGCTGGTATACCTGGGAAGAGTGGACCACTGGTTAGTACACTGTACTGACACTTACATTATGGAGAGAATAGTCTAAACTGATATTGGTGTAAATTGATACACAGTTGATGATTTTGAGCTGTCTAACAGGGATTGAAGGCACCTCATGGGGAGAGAGGGCCAACTGGACCTCAGGTGAGGAAACATCAGTCCTTCAAAGCTCTTCACTCATTTGAAGTTTCAGACATACTGGCTGAGTCGTTCTTCTAGGTATACAACCTGACTCAATTGTGAGTCAATTGTGATTTCTCTAGTTTGTCTTCCTTAGGGCCGTCAAGGAGAGACTGGACCCAGTGGCATACAGGGATCACCTGTGAGTAGCACTTTTAAATCATGTCATTGTCCTCGGCAGGTAGCCTGGCGGTTAGAGCGTTGGGCCAGTAACCGAAAGGTCACTGGTTTGAATACCTGAGCCAATAAGGTGAAAAACCTGTCGATTTGCCCTTGAGCAAGGCACTTAACCTTAATTTGCTCCAGGGGCGCCATACTACTATGGCTGACCCTGTAAAACAACACATTTCACTGCACCTATCTGGTGTATGTGTGCTTAGATAGCACTTTGACAACTATATGATGATTTGGTCATTTTAAGTGTTTACCACAGAAGTTGATGGGGTGTAACTGGTTTTAGGGTCATCCAGGCCTCCCAGGGCTAGAGGGCAGGACAGGGAAGCCAGGCCCTTCAGGAAGCCAGGGGCCTCTGGGGCCACAGGGGTCAGCCGGGCCCATCGGGTTTCCAGTGAGTGGGTACTTTTCAACGTTCTCCTTGTTTCATCCCAATGAAAAATGTATAATTGACAGGCCTAACTGAATTATTCAATGTTGATTATATATTTTTATGAACATCACAGAGATTAAACTGTATTATCAATGTACAGTCACTTTTGAGTCTGGTAATGTATTTTATTTACTGTATCCAGGGCACTCCTGGGATGGATGGAGTGATGGGGCAGGTTGGAGAAAAAGGAGAGCAGGTGAGTGCAATGCCAGCCCTAGCTCTTGTCGTTTTTCTGTTTTTCAATGATAGATTGAAAGGAATAGAGCATGAATCATGACAGTCAGTATTGCATTGAGTGATGCACTGTTGTGTCTGTTTAGGGAGCAGCAGGGCCTGTTGGGGACAGTGGGCCATCTGGACTGGACGAACAGCAGGTGGGCAGTGGATCTGGGTGTCTGTTCTTAGATGTACCCATCCACCTTCAATATGACTGGTGTTGTGTGCTCTTGTTTCCATGGTGGTAAGTGTGGCATATCATACAATGCCTTTGCAATAGCAATTGTACTATCATGGCTGACATTGATGACCCTGTTCTGTATTCTCCTGCCCCCCAGGGTCCCCCAGGAACAGTTGGTGAGGAGGGGCTGTCTGGGAAAAAGGTGGAACTGGTCAATAGCTGGGTTTCATCCCTTTTTCACTAGTTCTGTTAAAATGTGTTAATAAGATCCCTTCCTACTCTATCCCTAACACTCTGACTCCGTCTCTGTTGCTGTGAGGCAGGGTGCTCCAGGTCCCTTTGGAAAGCCAGGGCCCAAGGGACTCCAGGGAGAGCCAGGGCCACAGGGCTCCCCGGGGCTGCAGGGGGAGCCTGGGCCAAGGGGCAAAGAGGTCAGCTGTATTACCCTCTTTACCAAGCTCATCTACAGGCACAGGCTGCCATGATCAGGTTGGAATGTGGTTTCATGGTTTTCTGTGATTGTCTGTTGCAGGGAGAGATGGGAGGTTTCGGCAACAGAGGAGATCCTGGTCCTAAAGGACTAAAGGTAATGGAATGAACAGAATATACATATATGCTTAATGTGCGGTTCTATATGTACTGCCTGTTAAGATTTTCTGAAGCCTTCAAAAACATTTTATTGCTCCCAAATCCCATTTAATATCTTCTAAGTTGTTGTATTTCCTCTCCAGGGGGCAATAGGACCTCGTGGATTCCCAGGGTTAGAGGGGCCCTCAGAAGTTCTTGGGGACAATGGGAAAAGAGGAGTGAAAGGAAGGAAGGGCCACGTAGGACTACGAGTGAGTGACTAATGAAGTGTATTCTATCCTAATAATTGATGATTTACTGATATACAGTAGGTGATATAGTAGATGATCTATGTGATATGTTGATTTGGCACTACAGCAGTGTTCGGTTTCTGTTCATCAGGGCCAGGTGGGGTTGATGGGGGAAGCTGGACCGTCAGGCTATTCTGGATTGGAAGTAGGTTTGAAGTAGACTGGGATGCATTAAAGGGAAAACTCACAATGTTTGGAAAACTGTTATTACTCAGTACTCGCAATGTCTGTAATGGCTTTGTAGAATACTCTGTCAACCTGTTATTGTTACAGGGTGTTCAAGGTCCTTTTGGATTGGCTGGGGCTGATGGACCACAAGGGCAGAAGGTATGATGTAACCATGTCGTTATCATGGTGATGATATCATGCTGTAGCTGGACAATAACATGAAGTTTCCAATTTCTCTAGGGGGACAAAGGCCCTTATGGTGCGGTTGGGGATTCTGGAAACTCAGGCCTTAAGGTACGTATTGCCAGTATTTTATTTTTTATGTTGTATTCATGTATGAATTACAGAAAGCTATGTAACACACATACTGTAGGTTTTATTGGTTTTAGTGAGCTGTTGTCTTCTAATGACAGGGGGTGTCAGGGAGCAGAGGATCGAATGGTGATATGGGGAAATCTGGACCAAAGGTAGTATATCCAAATCCTATTGCAATTTATCTTGATAAGATTGCAAATCTAAACCTCACGCACAGCATCCTTGATTGCACATATACACTACCGGTCAAAAGTTTTAGAACACCTACTCATTCAAAGGTTTTTCTTTATTTTTACTATTTTCTACATTGTAGAATAATAGTGAAGATATCAAAACTATGAAATAACACATATGGAATCATGTAGTAACCAAAAAAGTGTTAAACAAATCAAAATATATTTGATATAGCCACCCTTTGCCTTGATGACAGCTTTGCACACTCTTGGCATTCTCTCAACCAGCTTCACCTGGAATGCTTTTCCAACAGTCTTGAAGGATTTCCCACATATGCTGAGCACTTGCTGGCTGCTTTTCCTTCACTCTGCGGTCGGACTCATCCCAAACCATCTCAATTTGGTTGAGGTCGGGGGATTGTGGAGGTCAGGCCATCTGATGCAGCACTCCATCACTCTCCTTCTTGGTAAAATAGCCCTAACACAGCCTGGAGGTGTGTTGGGTCATTGTCCTGTTGAAAAACAAATGATAGTCCCACTAAGACCAAACCAGATGGGATGGCGTATCGCTGCAGAATGCTGTGGTAGCCATGCTGGTTAAGTGTGCCTTGAATTCTAAATAAATCACAGACAGTGTCACCAGCAAAGCACCCCCACACCATAACACCTCCTCCTCCATGCTTTACGGTGGGAAATATACATGCGGAGATCATCCGTTCACCCACACCGCGTCTCACAAAAACATTTCCACCAGTCTGATGTCCATTGCTCGTGTTTCTTAGCCCAAGCAAGTCTCTTCTTCTTATTGGTGTCCTTTAGTAGTGGTTTATTTGCAGCAATTCGACCATGAAGGCCTGATTCACACAGTCTCTGAACAGTTGATGTTGAGATGTCTGTTACTTGAACTCTGTGAAGCATTTATTTGGGCTGCAATTTCTGAGGCTGGTAACTCTAATGAACTTATCCTCTGCAGCAAAGGTAACTCTGGGTCTTCCATTCCTGTGGTGGTCCTCAGTTTCATCATAGCGCTTGATGGTTTTTGCGACTGCACTTGAAGAAACTTTCAATGTTCTTGAAATGTTCCGTACTGACTGACCTTCATGTCTTACAGTAATGATGGACTGTCGTTTCTCTTTGCTTATTTTAGCTGTTCTCACCATAATATGGACTTGGTATTTTACCAAATAGGGCTATCTTCTGTATACCCCCCTACCTTGTCACAACACAACTGATTGACTCAAACGCATTAAGAAGGAAAGAAATTCCACAAATTAACTTTTAAGAAGGCACACCTGTTAATTGAAATGCATTCCAGGTGACTACCTCATGAAGCTGGTAGAGAGAAAGAGTGCGCAAAGCTTTCACCAAGGCAAAGGGTGGCTATTTGAAGAATCTAAAATCTAAAATATATTTGGATTTGTTTAACACTTTTTTTGGTTACTACATTACTCCATATGTGTTATTTCATAGTTTTGATGTCTTCACTATTATTCTACAATGTAGAAAATAGTAAAAATAAAGAAAAACCCTGTTCTAAAACTTTTGACCGGTAGTGTACTTGTATGTACATTTTCTGTGATAACGTTATCACATTATGTCTGTGTATTCCAGGGCATGGTGGGAGGCATGGGGAGACAGGGTGAGATTGGTCCAAAGGGTTTCTCTGGACATGAGGGGCCCAAAGGTGAGCCAGGAGAGAAAGGAGAACCAGGAGAGCAGGTGAGTTAGTCATTACAATGTATTTGTCTCTTCAGGAGACCAGCTGTTACATGATGTTCAGTAGTAAGTCTGAATGTCTATGTTGTGTCCAGGGGCCAGAGGGTCTGCCGGGCAACAGAGGGCCCCAAGCGTCCCCTGGATTGGAGGTAAGAACACAGAACACAGAGACAAGAGTACTGTATCTGAAATAAACAATACTTCTCTAGCTGTTGGTTGACGTCTTTTGTCCTCATCTTAACTTTCAGGGTTTGTCTGGTGAAGTGGGGCCTCAGGGAACAGTTGGCCCACCAGGACCTCTGGTCAGTGCTACAATAATATAATGTCAGATACAAAATATACACATGCATTTTCAAATGTGATCACCAGAAAGAAATGTCTATGGCGTTTTTAGATAAGTCAGCATTACCTTTTTTTCTCTTCAGGGACCAAAAGGTCGACCAGGCCCTGAGGGGAGACAAGGCCAGAAAGGTCAAAAGGTCAGGTCAAGCTTCACAATTCACCTGTCTATACATCTACGCATGTTACACTATTTATCCTACTCTGACATCCTACCTATATCAAATCCAGCTCACAATCTACACTTACTGTAGCTATGTGATTGTAGATTGCTTTCTTGCTTTTTTTTTTAGGGGTATGATGGTCGAAATGGGTATCCAGGAAAGATGGGACACATTGGGAGGAGGGTCAGAATGAAACCCTTGCTTATTCTGCCCTCTCTTTTTCACATATTACAATTTCTCATTTCAATTTATACGGATCTTGCTTCTTGATTTTAAAAGCTGTTTTTGTTTCCATGTAAGGGGAAAAGAGGGAAAGCTGGAAGCAGAGGCTTAAGAGGAGGGAGAGGAGAAAAGGTCAGTAATCACTATTGACTGTGAGAAACTGGGGCATGATTATGCACTAGCAATAACATACAGTATAATGTTTCTTTAACCTTTAATAAACTGCTAATGTTTTACAGCGGTGCGATTTTGTGTAAGGTCAACAGGGTATAACATTTTTAACAAGATTTAACCACCCTGATTAACTCTTTAATATTATCCCTGTTTACCTATTTGCTTATGGTCTTGCCTACGCCTAGCAAACAGTTTTTTAAATTATATGAGAAAAAATATTCAATTTTATTTGGAACGGCAAGCCAGACAAAATTAAATGGGCCTATTTATATAATGAATATGAATTCGGAGGACAGAAATTATTAAATATTAAAGAATTAGACCTATCACTAAAAGCTTCAGTCATACAAAAGTTATACTTCAATCCGAACTGGTTCTCTAGCAAATTAGTAAGATTGTCTCACCCCATGTTCAAGAATGGCCTTTTTCCCTTTATTCAGATTACAACCTCTCACTTTCAGTTATTTTAAAAGGAAATCATCTCCCAAATATCACTATATCTAAAACAAGCCATAGAAATTTGGTTGCAATTTCAATTTAATCCTCCAGGAACGACATAACAAATAATGCAGCAAATATTGTGGTTCAACTCAAATATACTAATTGATAAAAAAACATTATTTTTTGAAATAATGTTTAAAAAATGAATAATCTTCGTAAATGATATCATAGGTAGTACTGGTGGAGTTATGTCGCACATGCAGCTAACAAAAACCTATGGAAATGTCTGCTCTACCCACAATTACAACCAAATAATTGCAGCATTACCGCTAAAATGGAAGAGGAAAGTGGAAGGGGGAAAAAGTAAGGAACTTGTCTGTTGGCCCTGCATTAAAGAACATAGTTGGTTAAAGACAGTTGTGATAAATAAAAAAGTATACCAGTTTCATTTAAGGACCAAAGGATTGACAGCCGTCCCACATAGATTGCAAAATAGTTGGGAAGAGATTTTTGACGTACCGATTCCATGGCATAGTGTTTATAAACTAATACGCAAAACGATGCCGGATTCAAAACTTATTATACAAAATTCTTGCTACCAATAGAATGTTATTTATATTGGAGATACAATATTCCCAGCTCTGCAGATTTTGCTTCGAAGAGACAGAATCATTAGATCATTTGTTGCTTGTTTTTGGTTACAGGATTGCAATATTTACCTGTAGTTAACCCTGCAGATAGCACTACTGGGTGATCTGAAAAGTCATAGTCAATCGATCAATAATATAATAATACTTTTAGCAAAAATGTTTATTTTCAATGTACAATCTGTAGAAACAATGAGAATAGAAGGGTTCAGAACTTTTGTGAAACATCACAGTACAGTAAAAAAATATATGGCAAATAGAAATCCAATATGGATGGTGTTAAGAGAAAGATGGGAGGTGTTGAATGGAGTTGAAGGATGGGACTAATAACTAACAACAACTAATAACAACAAGATAACTAATGTAAAGCATACTGTGTCCATAATAAGTATATAGGTTATAGGTTGAGAGGTTTTGTGAAAGAGCACAGTTAGAAAGATATGGCATATAGAAGCAAACCGGATGGACATCATGAAAATTATCGGAGAGGTTGAGGGTAGAGGAAGTTCAGGAGTAAAAACAAACAAAATATAATTATTGTAAAATTGACAGTGTCCATAAAATGTATATAGTATTTATAAGCTGGAAGTAGAGGCCTAAGCGTTGTTTTTCACTAGTTTACTCCAATTAGGGGAGGGGTGGTGGGGTTGGAGGGTAATAAAGGGAAATATATTTGGAAAAAGGATATGTGTATTTATATGTGTGTGTGTATGTATGTATGTGTATATGTATGTATACACTACCGTTCAAAAGTTTGGGGTCACTTAGAAATGTCCTTGTTTTCGAAAGAAAATAAATTTTTCGTCCATCAAAATAACATCAAATTGATCAGAAATACAGTGTAGACATTGTTAATGTTGTAAATGGCTATTGTAGCTGGAAACGGCTGATTTTTAATGGAATATCTACATAGGCGTACAGAGGCCCATTATCAGCAACCATCAGTCCTGTGTTCCAATGGCACGTTGTGTTTGCTAATCCAAGTTTATCATTTTAAAAGGCTAATTGATCATTAGAAACACTTTTGCATTTATGTTAGCACAGCTGAAAACTGTTGCGCTGGTTAAAGAAGCAATAAAACTGGCCTTCTTGAGACTAGTTGAGTATCTGTAGCATCAGCATTAGTGGGTGCTCCAGATACTCAACTAGTCTCAAGAAGGCCAGTTTTATTGCTTCTTTAATCAGCACAACAGTTTTCAGCTGTGCTAACATAATTGCAAAGGGTTATCTAATGATCAATAAGCCTTTTTAAATGAAAAACTTGGATTAGCAAACACAACGTGCCATTGGAACACAGGACTGATGGTTGCTGATAATGGGCCTCTGTACGCCTATGTAGATATTCCATTAAAAATCAGCCGTTTCCAGCTACAATAGCCATTTACAACATTAACAATGTCTACACTGTATTTCTGATCAATTTGATGTAATTTTATTGAACAAAAAAATGGCCTTTCTTTCGAAAACAAGGACATTTCTAAGTGACACCAAACTTTTGAACGGTAGTGTATGCGAGGGAAAAAAACATATGGGGGATTGGAAATGATGCAGACAATTACAGTGATGGAAGTTACAATCTATCTGCAATATTAAAGCTGATCTACCCCCTAAAAAATAAAAAATAAAAAACATTTTACCTTTTCTTTGGCCTACAGGGAAAGAGGGGAGATTTTAGTTCAACCGGGCCTCCAGGAAGACAAGGGCCTTACGTAGGTTATTTTTAGTAATCATATAATTTGATCTGTTTTGGAAATGCTGTGTGCTCTTTTCAATGCCAGGTGGTTAACTGTACAACTCAATCACTGTGTCCCCAAAACTCAGGAAATAACTACCCTTGTTTCTATATATTTTTCTTTCTTTCTCTGTCTCTCAAAGGGGACACCTGGCATACAAGGAGAGAAGGGTGAAATGGGTGAACCAGGAGTAGAGGTAAGACCTTGAATGAAGCCTCAACAGGGTGACCATATGATTCAAGAAGTACAGCACTTTGAACCATACTTGGCCTAGAAGCTCATTAAATGTGAGACTAATGTCTTTCCCCTGAACTTGCAGGGAGAGAAGGGGAAGATGGGACTAACAGGCCCTCCTGGAGGTCAGGGGTTGAAGGTACCTTCATTTATCCCAAGAAGCGTATTACACATGAGTCAGATGTACTGTGCGTGAATTGATCTATTTAGAGTCACTATAGATACATTTTGCCTCCATCATTCCCATGTTCATATCCCTATACATTTCCTGTATTCAATGATGGACACAGCTCCATGATGTATTGAGTCAGTTGAGTGTCTGTTTCAGGGGACACAAGGCCCTTTGGGAGAGCCAGGGAGCGATGGCCTAAAAGGAGAACAGGTGAGATGTACTTTCTAGTATCTGTCTGTCTATTTGGTCTTCCTCTGAAAGCTTGACTCAGTGTTTTCTGTTAAGTATGTAACGTTAATCGTGGCATTGCTATTGAGTTGTATTGACTGTGATTTATGTGTTCTGTCTTTGTAGGGATACATTGGTCCTCATGGGGGATGGGGGATCCCAGGTCTACCTGGACTGCCTGTAAATTGTCCTTTTTCAGTGATATGCTATTGCTATTTCCCTTACATTTCTGAAAATATAGTAGGCTTTTTATACAGAGAATAATTAAATTCTAATGTGTTTTATTTTCTCTTTCTATAGGGTTTGTTTGGAGAAAAGGTATATTACTTTAAATACAAATAACCACATTTGTTCAGTTTTTTATGCATACCTTTGTGTTCTGTACATGTATTATTTGGAGATTGGTGGATTGACTGAGGGCACTGACTATTTACCTAAATATCAGGGTCTAAAAGGATTTGCCGGAAAATCAGGTCCTGTTGGAGTGAGAGGCCTGCCTGTGAGTATGATCTTCCTCACATCACACCACATTACCAGCTGTGTTACATCTATTTAATGAAATATAAATTATTCCTGACCCAATCTACATTTTACGTTACATTTTAGTCATTTAGTAGACACGCTTATCCAGATCGACTTACAGTTGCATTCATCTTAAGATAGCTAGGTGAGACGACCACATATCACAGTCATATCAAGGTTCAGAGAGGGGCAGGGACTCTGCTGTCCTAGCATCAGGGTAAGCTGGTTCCACCATTGGGGTGCCAGGACAGAGAAGAGCTTTGACTGGGCTGAGTGGGAGCTGACCTCTTGTGGCAGAATGGAGTGCTCACGTTGGGATGTAGGGTTTGAGCATAGCCTGAAGGTAGGAAGCATCCCGGGGCAATGAGTTTAACTTTTATATTGTGCTTGTTTTTCCTTGTTTGTGTCAGGGCCCCCCTGGCCCCCCTGGCCCCCCTGGAACCTCTCTGAATCTTACTCTGGCACAGCTCAAGGTAAGTCGTTGGTAATCTATTAAAGCAAATCGAAATACTTCATTTCAGTTTGGAACTCTCTTGAATTTTGAAACTCTAATGCAATTTTGGCCAATTCAGCCATGACTATTTATTTTACAACACCTCCTTGTTCTGCCCCCTGCCTGACCAGGACCTCATGTACTTGTCAGACAAGCCCAACTACCTCCTGATCCAGACTCTGCTGGATTCATTGCACCAGGACCTGCGCTTGTTCATAGATCCACCAGATGGCACCAAAGAACACCCGGCTACCACCTGCTTGGAGCTCTGGCTGTCCCAGCCCAACTTCACTAACGGTATGGGCTTCTTCCACAGGAAGCAATGTTCCCTCTCAGCTGCGTGCATGCACGGGCTCGCTGTAGCCCGGGACTGCCACGCAGCTCCCAATGGACTGCTGTGAGAATAAATATTAGCCCACAGAAGACATACCAGCCCACGGAGAGAGGCAGTAGATTGAACTTCACTCAACTTTCTAGAGTTTTCTCTGTTAGTTAACACTATCAATGTTTCCCTTTACTGTGGCAATTGTGATCAAATCAATGCAATATTGCCACTTTCAATTCAACATACCGAAACAAAACGAACTATGCAAGAGATTTTGTTGTAGGCACAACACATCGGAGTAGGATTCTATTGCACACGACTCAGCCCGTACTCTACACAGACTGTTGCGGCATAAACAATCAGAGCTGCAGTAGGCCTATACGCAAATAGACTATTGCCATATATGGATATGTGCCATTTACTTTGAACTGGACTGTGTTTACAGCTGTGGTCATGAGTAGATGAGCTTGTTTTGAGATCAAAGCAAGAGCTGCATGTAGCCACATGTGCACATTTTGTTCATATCCTTTGCTAGTTAGTGAGTTATTAGCCCAGTTATAGAGAATTTGTAGTCAGCAATAGGGGAGTGGTTACTTCCTAAAAGAGCACAAAACCTGTAAATTTCTAGACATGTTTAATAAGCAGGTAATTAGCTTTTTTTTGGTCTTAAATAGGCAGTGTTGTATTTTGAGACAGGCTTGAATAAGCTAAGTAGCCAATATGCAGAGGGTAGCATAATTTGTCTGATTCTCTGTAATAATGGTATGGGAATGATAATGCATTTTATTTTGTAAAGTGATTCTTGCATCAAACAACACAACAAGTTCAGTGGATAAACAGGTTAATGTCAAGCCCTGCATGTTTTTTTCAAAAGTCTCATGGAATGTAGGCCTACATTGAACACCACACGTTGGCTGTTACTGTAGGCTGAATGATAGAACAGCTATTTCTTTGTTAAAATGTTATGAGATGCATTTTATCCATTGTTTTTGATGGTAGGCCTACATTATGATCAAATAGCCACATTAGCCTACTTGGCCACTGTTAAAACTGTAATATAAAGCGGCTATAGCCTCAGTGTTCACAGTAAATGCGCACTGGAAGTTGCACAGAATTTTCACAACGCTAAAGTTTGCGCTCAGCAGACATACCTAAAATCTGCTCAGTGCCGAAAAAAATGAGAGGAATCATTGACCGGAACTACATTGATTTCATTATTTTCATCACAATGTGACACCTTCTCCATTTATATTCTAACAGCATTTTAAATGTACAATATGTTTATGTTTAATGGATTTGTGTGGGAGCAGTTGTACTGTACAACAGCAGAGAGATTGAACCCTGCTCAGGTTCTGACATAAAGGTTGATCCATGTTCCAGGGATGTTTTACATTGATCCTAACCAGGGCAGCCCAGCTGATGCCCTCCTGGTCTACTGTGACTTCACTGCAGCACCAAAGACCTGTCTGTCTCCACTCCATCCTCAGGTACTTCCACACACACCCCTGGCTCTGGGACCCTCTCAACTATAGATCTTATATAATGTGGTAATAACATATGCTATATGTGTGTATGAAATGAAATACGTTCAAACTTCAGGTGCCAATGAAGGCATGGCTGAAGGATTCTGGGACAAATAACTCATTTCATTGGTTGAGTTCAATGGAAAAAGGCTTTCAGGTGAGGCTCAAATCCAACCTTGATTCTGTATTGCTCCCATGTCCCTGGTTTGATTTTAGTTTTGAAAACACATCTTCCTTCCATTCTCTCTCCCAGTTTGAGTATCCAGGACCGGATGTGGTGCAGATGAGGTTCCTTAGGTTAAACAGCAGGCTCACCAGTCAGAACATTACCTACTCCTGCCAGCTTGGGAACAGACAGGGACCAGGGGAAAGAGAGGTGAAGTTCATGGCAGACACACGAAGACAAAGTTACCTGGGGACATTACGAGATTGTGTGGTATGTTTTCAGACTATAATGATTACCATGTACTGTATTAGATGATGGTGATGATGATGATAATGATGATGATGATGAAGAGGAGGCTGTTGAGGTATGGTGAAGAAAGAGTCACTTCAATGCTTGTAATGTACTTTGTGTTTCCTTCTTGGCAGTCATCTGAGGAGCTGGATTCCGGAGACCGTCGTGAGTCAGGGTTTCAGTTTGAGAGTGAGGACCTTGATCTGCTTCCCCTGAGAGATCTGGCAGTGTTCGGAAGCAGTGACCTCACGCAGGAGTTTGGATTCACTGTCGGGCCTGTGTGCTTCAGCTAAAGGAAGAGAGACACTCTCTCTAAGGACTGGCAAGAGCAAAGACAATAATGAGACAACCACCAGACAACCTCCAGCTAGTGGGGAAATTACTCAGAGAAACTGGAGAGAGACAGAGAAAGGCAGCAGCATCTCTCCACTTCTCATGACGGAATTGTTTATTGACAAAGTAGAAGTACCAACCAACAGGACAAAGTGTCTGTTTTCTCTCTCCAAAGGTTAACCAGTTAACAAACATGAACTGGTTGGTCTGTGGCCAGGGATATTCTTGAGAGAAAGTGTCTTTGTATTTTGTGTACACTGATTTCATTTGTGATATTGAAACATGCATATTTATGTATTGGTTTAAATGATGCAGGTTCCCTTATATGTTTAAGGTGCTATAATTCTGTTTTCACATACATTCTTATACTTAATTCAGGTATGTTCTTGACAAAGAGCACTGTGGTTTATACAACCTTCACTGCTGCAACTTAACAATGTGTCCCAAATCTGTGCTCACTCTACCCTTACATCCCCAGTTAGAAACTAAGAAACATATCAATATTGATCCCTTGGTCAAAAAGTAGGAAGACTAATACAATGATGATTATTAGGAGCTATGACAATTAATTCATTGTATTTGGTGATAAGATTTTATGCATTCTTGCAGCACATGATAGATGCAGTAGCCTAACTACCATTTGTGAAATTGTGATGTTTTGATGTCTGTTGATACAGACAGAGTAACAATGCAGTACTATAAAACATGTTGTCAAAGGTCATTCAAGAAGACCAAAGATTACGTTTTCTGTAGATTCTTTCTGTCTCCAGTGTTTTTACCTCACTGCACCTTATTTGATGTCCCTGCTAGAGGCTTATCTTTGTCCCTCAATGTACCACATGATTTTACACCCTGACCTGGCTTTCTTCTACCATGAACCCCAACCTGAGAAGCTTTGACAAGGGTAAAATGACTCCCTCAGTTCTGTGAAAAACAGTTCTGATTCGAATGGAAATACTCCAGGAGGGACTTTTTTATGTGATGGATGCTCTTGATAATGTGCTTACGATTGATACTGGATTGCATGCAGCAGGCTATGAACATGGTATGGAACTTCAATGGCAGAGACAAATGTATCTTCAAAGTTTTGCTCAGTTTCAGCTTTGCTTAAAGATGTGTTTGTAATTGTGTGATTTACTTAATTTATTTGCTGGCCATTTTTCTTCAAGTGTTTTAAGTATCCATTCAATGATATATATATATATATATATATATATATATATATATATATATATATATATATATATGTATATGTAATTCATATTCTCTCATATTTTGTAATATGCACATGAGATACCAGTAACTGGTATCTCATGAAATTCATGAATAAATGAAGGTATTGTACTAATTTATTCATAATTCGTATTGTCCCTCCCCCTCTCCAAAAAGCACACAAACAAGTGGAAAATATACGCAATTTTATTTTCATTCAAACTTAAAGCAATTAGAAAGGGATGTGATTTCACTACATTAGATTAATGAAAATTAACTACCAATGTAGCTATGATGTTTCATGAAAATAATCGGGCGAAGTGTTGACATGAGAGAAAGGCGATAACTAAAATATATCATCCTCAGACATTGTTGCTTCCGCTCTGTTCGCTCAGGTGACTTTCTGACATTGACATAGACATTTCTGCTGCTGTTGGGTATAGGATTATTCTCTTCAAGGTATGCAATCATTTTAAACAAACACTTGCGTTTATCCTGTAAGACATGCTCCTCGTTTGTAGTAAATTGACTACTCGTGTAACTGCTTGTTTTTAGGCTGTAGGCCTTGTAATGCCTCGGTCTGTAGTCGCTCTGTGAATCGGTCAAGACTCGCTCAAGATCCATTGGAATTGGGAGCTCCGAAGAGCATGAGAGACGATACATTGTAGTCTAAAAGGTAAAGGAAATGTATTTCTAAATTCAACGTCTGTAGTTTTAGCCTACGTTTTATTGGCAGCCAGCAAATTTTTGTGTAGGTTTGCGCAGATGTTTTCCATCGTAATTATCTGCTGTTGCGCCAGGAGTGAGTAGCCTTCAGCCTTCAGGCATCCTCTCGTCAGATGGCATACAGTATTATACAACTAAAGTAATTTATTTTCTTTTGAAACGCATTTGACCTGTTTAGAAACAAATTTAAGAAATATTGTCAATAGTGAGGACAAGTGGCTGACAGGCTGCATTAAGTGACAGTGACTATAATGTACATATTCAACAATTTGCAGTGAGTGACATGAATAATTTTAAACATGTCATAATTGATCAATAAAGGGTTTGTAAACGAAACTGCATTGCTTTGTTTTCAGATTAAGTTTTAGTTCTCTATTAAAACAAAGTGATCCATATATGTATGAAAAATGTATGCACTCCTAACTGTAAGTCGCTCTGGATAAGAGCGTCTGCTAAATGACTAAATATGTAAATGTAAATATGTATGTTATGCATGTGTCCATTAATCTGTTTTGGTCTAATGAAGCACATCTCTCTACAGTTGAGTTTGTATTAGAGAAGGTCATGTGTAGCCTATTTTGTATTTGTATTTAAAACGGAGCCCCATTAGCGGCTGCCAAGGCAGCAGCTACTCATCCTGGGGTCCAACCACTGGGGTCCAACCACAATTTACATACAATAAAACAATACACAACACAACCCCTTATTACACACTACTCTACCATAACATATTTACAATACAAAATAAATAATTCTGCAAGATAACAATATTAAAATGTGTGTGTGTGTGTGTAGAGTGCATGTGTTTGCGAATGCTGTGTGTGTGTGCCTGTGTGTGTGTATGTGTGTCTCTTCACAGTCCGTGCTGTTCCATAAAGTGTAGTTTTATCTGTTTTTTTAAATAGGATTTTACTGCTTGACTGAGTTACATAATGTGAAATAGAGTTCCATGTAGTCATGACTCTATGTAGTACTGTGCGTTTCCCGTAGTCTGTTCTGGACTTGGGGACTGTGAACAGACCTCTGGTGGCATGTCTCGTGGGGTATGCATGGATGTCCGAGCTGTGTGCTAGCTTTCCAAACAGACAGCTCGGTACATTCAGCTTGTCTACACCTCTTAAAAAAACAAGCAGCGATGAAGTCAATCTGTCTTCCACTCTAAGCCAGGAGAGACTAACATGCATGTCATTAATGTTAGCTCTCCGTGTACTTTTAAGGGCCAGCCGTGCTGCCCTGTTCTGAGCCAACTGCAATTTTCACAAGTCCCTCCTTGTGGCACCTGACCACACTACTGAACAGTAGTCTAGGTGCGACAAAACTAGGGCCTGTAGGACCTGCCTTGTTGATAGTGTTGTTAAGAAGGCAGAGCAGCGCTTAATTATGGACATACTTCTCCCCATCTTAGCTACTGTTGTATCAATATGCTTTGACCATGACGTTTACAATCCAAGGTTACTCCAAGCAGTTTAGTCACCTCAACTTGCTCAATTTCCACATTATTCATTACGAGATGTATTTGAGGTTTAGGGTTTAGTGAATGATTTGACCCAAATACAATGCTTTTAGTTTTGGAAATATTTAGAACTAACTTATTCCTTGCCATACTAGCAAATTATTGATTTCATGAACCTTGTTTCTTAAGCTACATATGTTAACATGGGCTATTTTGAGCACTTTTCTTCTGGGATGCTTACTTGTTTTTATTGCTTTACTGGGAAGCTTAGCAGCAGTAGATGTGCTCATGTTCTTTATGTTAGTGCAGGGTGAGCTGCACACAGTGGCCTTCCTCCTATATATTGCATCTGCTTTCGTTTGTCATTTGCAGCCCACTTTCCCATTCTAGCACTGTCTATGACTTCACCGTGGGGTGGGCTGGAGACATGCACCCACCATCAACGAAGGACTTTGTGTCTTTAACCCTCACTGGACATGCAAGTGGCAACTATAATAACAGTAAACAGTGGAGAAGACAGTCCTGCTGGAGGGTGAGTGATTGCTGAAGGAAGTCAACCAACCTTCTTATCTCAATCACACACTGATCCGATTACTTACTATTTCCAGTTGATTTATATGCTCTAAGAGATAGCGCACTGAATGTTTTGTACCGCAAATGTAGCATGACATTTTAATGGCTTACTAAATGAATGAAAAAATGTCTGAAGACATAATTATGATCATAACCATAATATAATGTGATAGACAGAAAGGAAATGACTGTAGCTCAGACCTGTCACTGTTAGTCAGTAGAGGTATGACACCATGGTTGTGTTGTTTATCAGAAGAATATGACACTGCAGTGCTTCTGTATAGTAGCAGCATGTTACTATAATGACGCAGTTGATCAGACATGTAGCACTGTGTGACATTTAGTGATACGTCTGTATTTCTTGTTTATAGTGTACATGTCTCTCCTGACAGACAAGCCAGTGCAGTCAATTATAACTGAGCGTTTGTCTAATTCACTCTGTGCTTACGGCTTTGCCATTTTCTCTCTCACCCAAATTGCACCCATATATCCACAGAAATGGAAACAGTTATCGAGATTGCAGCGCAACCTAATCCTCTTCACCGTAGCTCTCATGTTAGTTTGTGGGATTGCTGCTTATCCCAGTGTCACAGAACATTTCCAAGGTAAGGCCAGCAAAAAAATGGAATTGTTATAATGTATGGTGGTGACTGTTTTTGAGCCACCAGAGACTGAGCATTCTCCCCTCTGCATCCTCCCCAGGCCTTACTGTTGTTGCGAAGGAGGAAGGGGACCATGCTCTGAAAGCTGTCATCACTGAGGTCCTACCTGAGTCAGACAAACTGAACCAACCGCTAGTACCAGAGCCACCTTCAGAGGTTGGTACATTCCACTCCTCTGCTTTGCTACTAAAGCCAACCTTTGACTATGACAAAATATCTGGAGTGACACAAACAGTAAGCTGTGTTTTTGAATTAAACACTTCCCTCCCTTTACCATGTCTCTTCCTTTAGAAGCAGAAGAGGGCACCCTACAAGCGGGGGCCACCCGGCCTGCAGAACCGCCTGCAAAATAAAGGGAACATGTCAGATACCCAGGTGGAGAAAGAGGAGGGAGAGAAGCTACTTGTTAAGTAAGACTAGTCTCTAATCAGTGGAGATAACTGATGGACTGATTGATAACAAAATACTGATACATAAGCCTTTATTGCATGCGTTAGAGAAGTGGATTGTGATGAGTAATCTGAATAAAATATACAACTCGATTCCAACCAAATATAAACATGTTTTCTGGTCTTCTTATCTTGACTGACCCCTATGTGTGTTTAGCTGGCGTGGGGCCATGATTGACCAAGCCGCTGAAAGAGGAACTGCCAAGGAAGCAGAGAACAAGGTGGATGTCCCAGCGGTTGAGCAAGAGGTCCACTCACACAAGGAGCCAGGTCTTTGCCATGTTTCTGCCTCTACTGTCTCTCTTCTCTCTCTCTGTCTCTCTGTCATCCCCCTGCTCAAACCCTCCATAGCCCCCTTCATGACCATGAACAACAGTTGAGTTTATTAACCACACGTTGAGTTTGATAGAGGGCAAACTAGAGCTTTGACAGGAAATGTGCATGGCCTGAAAGAGACTTAAATAGAAGTAATGAATTCATAATTCTGGAACGGACTTGGATGGTAGCTAATTATCTTGGCACGCGTGTGTTTCAGAAGTCGATAGGCTTGAGGCAGTACGTGATGCTTTCAGACATGCATGGAAGGGCTACAAAGAGTTTGCCTGGGGCAAAGATGAACTGAGGCCCGTGTCTAAGTCCTATGGAGAGTGGTTTGGCCTGGGCTTGACCCTAATTGATGCACTGGACACCATGTGGATCCTCAACCTCAAAAAAGGTACAGTACATTAATGATCCAGCTTTTCTATATACCTGCTGTATCAGAGAGTTTGCATGGAGTTAGACCACTAAAGTTGTTTGCCCTCTTTTGGACAGAGTTTGAGGAGGCTAAGACCTGGGTGTCCACAGAGCTGTCCTTCAATAAGAACGTGGACGTGAACCTGTTTGAGAGCACCATCCGTATCCTGGGTGGCTTGCTGAGTACTTACCATCTGACTGGAGACACTCTGTTCCTGGACAAGGCTGTGAGTCACATACAGAGAGACCTACAGAGAGCTGGCACGTACTGTTTCTGCTGCTGGGCCTCTGGCACTTCCTCCTCCAGTCATTCTGCCTCTCAAAGACCCTTTCATGGGCTGCTGATAATGCTGCTGCTGGTCATATGAATTAAATCTGTGGGAGAAGGGGGTCTGGTTAGGAAAACCAATATTGATTGGCAGTTCTGTTTATTTATTTTTGATGACCTTGCAGAAAGATATAGGAACGAGGTTAATGCCTGCCTTCAACACCCCGTCCAAGATCCCCTACTCAGATGTGAACATTGGGAAGGGTACGGCCCACCCCCCTCGATGGACATCGGACAGCACTGTTGCTGAGGTCACCAGCATCCAGCTGGAATTTAGGGAGCTGAGTCGCCTCACTCAGGACACACGCTACCAGGTAAACCCAACGACAACACAGTATCAGGATCTGTTGGTAATATTCATACCAACACTCAAAAGCAATGTTCTAATGGCAGGACTCGATTCATGTCAGCCTTTTGTTCAAGGTTTGATTATTCAGCACTCTATCAATCATCTCTGACGACATTAAACAGACTTATTTCTCCTTCCCCTTCTTCCTTATACAGGCTGCAGTGGATGAGGTCATGCAGAAAGTCCACAAGCTGGAGGGGAAGCAGGACGGCCTTGTCCCCATGTTCATCAACACCAACAGCGGCCAGTTTACCCATTTGGGGATGTTCACGCTGGGCGCACGGGCAGACAGCTACTACGAATACCTCCTCAAACAGTGGATCCAGGGAGGCAAGAAGGAGACAGAGTGAGTCGAATTCCTTAATTCCTGGACTTCTTTTCTAAACACTTTCCGGTCTACTTTTCTCAAGGCTGTATATGAGGTTTAAGCTGACGCTAATTCTCTGAGTCAGGTCTAGGCACTCAAGTCCTACTCATCTTGTCTAGGGTCCCTGCTAAGTACTGGGGGCAGGCAGCAGAGTTGTCACTGTTCTGGCTTGCTGTCATGTTTGACAGCAGAGCTGTCCCTCCCCTGATGTAACTGACACGACTTTAACAGCCCCGTCTCTCTGTTACCTGCAGTGCTGGACAAGCTGTGTGGATGTGGCGGAACGGCTGTATGTCGTATCAGGCTGTGCATAAGACTGAAATATTCATGACTCTGTCTGGTGATATTTGCTGAACTTCATGCACAACTAGGTCTTCAGAGCTGCTTTATAAAACATTTATCCTCAGTTGGAACAGCTCTCGCAGACCCAGCACAGCTTGAGGACTTTGATGCTTGAGGACAGATTTAGTTATTGTACTATGTTTAAAGTAGTTCATGAAGTTGTATATATTTTTTATTGGCTCAGTGCTGTATCAGTTGGTGTTGACGGTGGATTCTATGGGACACGTATAAAACAATAACAGAAAACTACGCAAGTACCATTTAAGCTGACTATTCTTCTCAGTATTTGTATAGGTATAGACCATATTCCTTTAAGTCAAAGCAGTGTTGTGTTATACAGAGCAGTACAAATAAACTGATGTGCCTGGCTGTAAAGCTGTGGTTATATGGGTGTTCCTCAGGTTATGCTCCAGAGTGCTTGGCTATAAAGCCGTGACTGTGTGTTCCTCAGTTTGCTGGAGGATTACCTGCAAGCCATGGAGGGAGTGAAGAAGAACCTGCTGAAGAAGTCCTCTCCGAACAGGCTGACCTTCGTAGGGGAGCTTTCCCATGGCCAGTTCAGCCCCAAAATGGTTAGGATACTGACTATGCACACCAGATGAGTGTGTGTGAAAAGGCTGCTGTTTTCTCTAGATTGTGGACTCCATTCTGTAACATGGACAGGGTAGTTATCCACTGACTCCCCCCTCTGTATCTGTGTCAGGATCATCTGGTGTGTTTCCTCCCTGGGACCCTGGCTCTAGGGGCCTACCACGGCCTGCCAGCGGACCACATGGAGCTGGCCAAGCAGCTGATGGAGACTTGCTACCAGATGTATGCCCAGATGGAGACTGGCCTGAGCCCTGAGATTGTCCACTTTAACATGCACGAGGGCAGCATCAGAGATGTAGACGTGAAGGTAGGGATGTGCACTGAACAACACTCACAGCAGAGATATGGTTATAATCAATACCCAACTGAAGTGCTATTTGGTTCCTGACAATTTATTTCACTGTTGTAAAGTGTATGTTTTTTTGATGCAATTGATATGATTGTTTCTCGTGTGTGTGTGTGTCATTTCCTCAGCTTGCAGACAGACACAACCTCCTGCGCCCTGAGACGGTGGAGAGCCTATTCTATCTGTACAGGTTCACTAAAGACAGGAAGTATAGGGACTGGGGCTGGGAGATTCTCCAAAACTTCAACAAGTACACGAAGGTGAGAGAGCACAGTCACTAACCAGCCTAGACTACTGTTAATACTGTAAGTAAATGAACTCGCCTGGTCCCAGATCAGTTTGCATGACAATAGGAGTTGGCAAGACCGCACACTGATCTGGATCCAGGCTACTGAGAAATGCATTGTTTGAGATATTGTCACATGCTGTTAAAGTTAATGATAAATCTGTATGTGTTAATTGAGTGAGTATTCCCCAGAGATGATGGATCCTTCTCATAATACCATGTGTGATGGTCTGTGTCTCACCAGGTTTCTACTGGTGGCTACACGTCCATCAACAACGTACGGGACCCAGAGTACCCTAGCCCCCGGGACAAGATGGAGAGTTTCTTCCTGGGGGAGACTCTCAAATACTTCTACCTGCTGTTCTCAGATGACCCGGAGCTGGTCAGTCTGGACAAGTATGTGTTCAACACAGAGGCCCACCCCCTGCCCATCTGGCCCACTGCAGAGTGAGAGATACACAGGGCAAGTCAACGTGACGCACATATACAGTAATACATCACAGCTCAGGGCTTGGCTAACACCAAGATATCTTGTTATTCCTTTTTATATATCTCAGTGACTCAAGTTTGGGTCGGTTTACCCTCTCCCAATTTGAAAACTCTGGAAAAATGCCTATTTTTTAAAGCCGGAATTCATTGTTTGTTTAGTGATTGTTATATCCATGGGGGATATCAGCAGTGTTGGGGTGAGATTGAGGTATAGTAGCTTTGTTCTCTTTCTGTTCTCGCCACATTGCTGGTACGGGGCCTGTCTGTCCTCTGATAATGACAGTTGTTTAGTCTGAAGGAAGAGTGGAAAACATGAGAGCCAGCCAAGCTGTGTCCTTGGCTCATCGTGGTTATTTCGTGCACCAACACTAGAACATATGAGCGTGACTGGTCTCCAAGCTGTGTCTTAGTCGGAGGCAGCAGCAGCCTGAGAGGAAGTGGAAGTTTGGCAGAATACGGCGCTAAGTGACCAAGTCCCTATCATGGAATGATATAGTATACTATGGTATAAATCACTGTAGTGTATACTGTAGTATTTACAGTTAGCTATATTATAAATACTGTAGTAAAGGAAAACAGTAGTATACTGTTGTATTTACTATAGTGTTTTTGTTTTATTATCATTGACATAGAAGGGGAGGCTTTCTCCTTCAGGAAACCTACTGGAGAAATACTAATGAAGCACATTTTCCATAACCTGGCTGGGGTCTGAATGGAGAGTTCAGAGCATCTACTCTTTTCTATAACCTGTAGGGAACACAATCTATGATCTATACATGGCATGTAGGTTTCTCACTTATGGGTGGCACTAATTGCATTCTTAAGAAATGGTTTATAAAGATTTTGAAAAGAGAATCAGTCATGTCAGGCATAGAATAGTCTGATTTAATTGCATACTGTGAACCTTTATGTGTATGGGGACTACAAGCACTTATTGTTTCATTTCCTTGTGTTTGAATTCGACTGACTCAGCTGCTATTATATTTAATGAATATTACGTTTTCTTTTTCCTTATTTGTCATTATTTCCTTTATGTTGTGGTGTCAAACTAGTGCAAGTTGGAGTGGAAGTTTGGGTAGTTTTAGTTATACCAATATGTTTGTGAGATTTAAGCTGAATTTAGTTAATATAATTTGAATTAATTTGTATTGTATTGTGGTATACTACAGTGCCTTCAGAAAGTATTCATACCCCTTGACTTATTCCACAATTTGTTGTTACAGTCTGAATTAAAAATTGATTAAATAAATGTATTATCTCACCCACTGACACACAATACCCCATAATGACAGTGAAAACATGTTTTTAGACGTTTTAGCAAATATATATATTTTTTCAATACATAAGCATTCACACCCCTGAGTCAATACATGTTAGAATCATCTTTGGCAGTGATTACAGCTGTGAGTCTGTCTGGGTAAGTCTCTAAGAGCTTTGCACACCTGGATTGTACAATATTTGCACATTATTATTTTCAAAATTCTTCAAGCTCTGTCAAGTTGGTTGTTGATCATTGCTAGACAGACATTTTCAAGTCTTGCCATAGATTTTCAAGCCGATTTAAGTCAAAACTGCAACTCGGCCACTCAGGAACATTCAATGTAATCTTGGTAAGCGACTCCAGTATGTATTTGGCCTTGTTTTAGGTTATGTGAATTTGTCTCCCAGTGTCTGTTGGAAAGCAGATGGAACCAGGTTTTCATCTAGGATTTTGCCTGTCTTAGCTCTATTCCGTTTATTTTTAGCATTAACTCCCTAGTTCTTGCCGATAACAAGCATACCCATAACATGATGCAGCCACCACCATGCTTGAAAATATGAAGTGGGACTCAGTGATGTGCCCCAAACATAACGCTTTGTATTAAGGAAATAAAGTTAATTTCTTTGCCACATTTTTTGCAGTTTTACTTTAGTGCCTTCTTGCAAAAAGGATGCATGTTTTGGAATATTTTTGGCATCATGGTGAAATCCCTGAACGGTTTCCTTCCTCTCCGGCAACTGAGTTAGGAAGGAAGCCTGTATATTTGTATTGAATGGGTGTTTTGATACACCATCTATAGTGTAATAACTTAACCATGCTCAAAGGATGTCTGCTTTTTGTATTTTTACCCATTTATCAATAGGTGCCCTTCTTTGCGAGGCATTGGAAAACCTCCCTGGTCTTTGTGGTTGAATCTGTTTGAAATTCACTGCTCGACTGAGGGACCTTCCAATTATCTGTATGTGTGGGGTACAGAGATTAGGTAATCATGTTAAACACTTATTGCACACAAAGCAAGTCCATGCAATTTATGTGACTTGTTAAGCACATTTTTACTCCTGAACTTATTCAGGCTTGCCATGACAAAAGGGGTTGAATACTTGACTCAAGACATTTTAAACTCAGGCTGTAACACAACAAAATGTGGAAAAAGTAAAGGAGTGTGAATACTTTCTGAAGGCACTGTATATCTGGATAGGCTGTAGCTCCCGTACTTCACCATCATTCCTGTAAATATCTATTGCGAATGTAATATGCACATTTTCACTCTGATGATTCTATTTGTAGTGGTCTTTTATTTAAGAGTTTTTGAGACCACATTCAACATCCTAGGTGTATAGTGTGAGATGTAGTTTTCTTCCCATTTTGAATGTTCAGCTCTCCCCTCCTTCAGTGTTGTTTCACTTGTGCCTTCAACGTTGCTCTGGACAACATTATGAAACTATTTTGACATATCATTCATAAATTGCTGTTTTGTTATTGAAATGTATATAGTTGCTGTGGATAGTTGTGCAACATTTTTTTTTTTTTACATATTCAGTGTGTGGTTGTGGAATAAGCAATGTCATTTTCCAACAGTCTTTCAACCATATGGATATACTTCCATAACTTTCAAACTATGCATAAACTTTATAGTACATATCATGAAACTAAGGGCTATCAGCTTCCTTTCCCTCTTTCACATCTCTGATCAGTTAGTATACTGCTGGTCGGATTTCTGATTCCTTTTTTAGAACTCAGATGTTTCTCAAAATGGATTCTAAACTTTTATAAACCAAAGATATACTGGTTATTACAATAACTGGAACCTGGAATTATTCTACCCATTCTGTGAGGAATGACAAAATAAGCCATTTTCCTAAGTCATGTTTTATAACAATGAAAATTAAATACTATTGGAGATTTTGATACAGCATCTGGAGTCAGCTGCTGCCTGCTGACAGCTGTTAGTTAACCAAGGTCAACAGCGTGTTAATACTGTCTTGGTTAACCAAGGTCAACAGCGTGTTAATACTGTCTTGGTTAATCAAGTCTGCTGTTCTGATTCACTCAGCCCTCAAGCTGTGGAGGAACATTTTATTTCGAACCACTAATGCCATATACCCAACTGTGGCACCCGCCTGGGACCTCAAGGCAAAATAAGAAATATAAATAAGTTATTGTATTTTTCTTGCAATATTGTAGATATTTGCAATCAATGTATCACATTGGTCAGATTCTTGCAATATTGTGGACATTTACAATCAATGTATCACATTGGTCAGAATCTCTTCATTTCAATTAAACTATGCGCCTGTGTCATTTGCGACAGTGTATTTCGGAATAGCCTGTGTGATGAGAGACTGCAATACCAGTGACTCAGCTGGAAAGTAGTACACCCATGTCTTGATTTAATTATCTTTCAACTTGGGCATGAACATGCTAAACCAAGGGCTGGGAGCTAATGGGTCCAGTGTTTCTGGGTCTATGAACTGTTTAAATCATGAACTTTCAAAATGTGTCACAAATCATGTCACTTGGTTTACGATAAAACGATGGACCTGCTTTAATTTTGTATATGTCAACATTAAAACACTTATTGAACAACATTTTACAACTCTGTCACTGTCGATCATTACAATCCATGTTGAAGGCATTTCATCTGTATCTGTCCCTCTCCATTTTCACCCACTGGGCGATGGTGTCTGACTCCATCTTACAGGCCTTTTATAACTGATGCCGGATCAGCGACATTGGCCTCTCTGGGAGGTAAGATCACATAGGATAATATTAGCATTGAATTGCAACCATGCCTGTGGTTGTACTGTATATTACTAAGTAATATTATAGAGTAAATAATTGTATACTGTTTGAATTTACAGTAGTTGATTGTGGAGTGGAAGAAAGTCAAGTGTGATTTTAATGACAAGTCCTCTCACCTCAAATCCAAATGGTGAGCCCCCTCTGAGATGTTGATTGCAATTAGTGATGAGCTCAAGGACTTTCTCACCTACAGAACAGAAATCTTACAAATTTGATTAATATCTTACCCTTCCATTTTATCCATGGGTCCAGATCTCCATTGGAGAAAAGAATGTTGCTGGCCGTGGAGAGGGCTGATCAAGGCAAAAAAGAACAGAAACATAAACTGAGGAAACCGTACTATGGAAAAAAACAAGCAGACTAGGGTGGCACTACAGAGAAGTTGTTCTAGAAGCAAGCCATGTGTACTGTGTGGGAATTTCAAATTATGTTGAAATGAGCAAGGCAGCAGGGTCGTTCCACCAATCAGGTGCCATCTCAAGAGGTTAAATAAAATGTTAAAAAGACTATAGTAAGTGCCTATTAAGTGCCAAATAAAGTAACAGGGTTGATGACTTCATCTTAAATCAGCCATAAATCCCCTGGTGACAGGGAGTGGCAATTGAATGTGGCAATTTTTTTTATTTAAATTAATTATCTGTGGGAACAGGGTTGACGTATTCTGCTTGACCCGCTCAGTTTTACACCAGAAAATTGCCAAAAAGAATAGAACCAGCTCACATGCTGAGCAAAGAGCAAGTGACAACCGTTTGGTGATGTACAGTGTGCCTGGTAGTCCCAGGTCAGACTATTGAAGTCCATAGCCAGTTGGGTCAGCACACTCCACATACAGGGTGTAGAGGTCAAAGAAGGTAAAATCTCCTGTAGAGTTGTACACTATTCCTGTAGGAGATTCAGCATAAAAAACATATTACACCATTACAGTTGCTGGTAGACCTAACATAGAATTTTGATGAGGAAATGTGAGCACCTGCTATACAGATCATCAGTTCTACAGTGATTTCTGGGTTGATTGGGAATTATGCTTTATAGCCATTCTGCCTGAGGAGCAGCTGGGGGAAGTGTAGGAGGAGCACCCTCTAGTGAACACTGATATGAAATGCCTCTGAGTGATACAAAAGTCAAATGGTAGGATCCTTGAAGGATTCATTGAGAACTTACTGGACAGTCCTGTCGCCTACTTACCTGCAGTGTCTGAGGGAATGCAGCATATCAGCTCCACCCAACATGGTATCACAGGCCTCCCTACAATAATAACAAGCACATAGAGTTCTCACTTTAGTTCAACACAAACAACATAGTATGGTTTGAACGACATAGTAGGGGTGAAATTCCAATGAGTTGGTGTTAGTGAGCAACAGTACCTTGACTGGGTTGGCAGGCATGCTACCCATAAAGTGGGTGCTGTAGGGGTAGTCCAGTATGACCATAAGGGTGAAGGCATTACGTAGGAACCCATTCAGCTGGTGGATGTCCTTATGGGAGCAGGGAGTCTTGCACAGGGAGAACTCTGACTGGATACGACCATAGTCTGAAGTGGGACAAACATGGAAAGGAGACAACCATGCACCATTACTGTAATGATGGAAGATCACACAGTGCTTCTGTAGTTTCAAAGCTATACTGAACAAAAATATAAACGCAACATGCAACAATTTCAAAGATTTTACTGAGTTACAGTTCATATAAGGAAATCAGTCAATTGAAATAAATTAAATAGGCCCTAATCTATGGATTTCACATGACTGGGCAGGGGTGCAGCCATGGGTGGGCCTGGGAGGACATAGGCCCACCCACTTCGTAGCCAGGCCCAGCCAATCACAATACGTTTTTCCCCACCAAAGGGCTTTATTACAGACATAAATACTCCGGAGCACCCCCCCACCCCCACCCCCCCTCAGACAATCCAGCAGGTGAAGAAGCAAGATGTGGAGGTCCTGGGCTGGCGTGGTTACACGTGGTCTGCGGTGGATGGATTATCTTGGCAAAGGAGAAATGCTCAGTAACAGGGCTGTAAACAAATTTGTGCACAAACTTTGAGAGAAATAAGCTTTTTGTGCGTATGGAACATTTCTGGAATCTTTTATTTCAGCTCATGAAACATGGAACCAACTCTTTACATGTTGCAACCGTGATGACATTCATAGGTTGCAAAGGCACATTCAAATGATGACCCCATTTCTACAGGGGCTCATCTGATATTGTACATGCATACTTTACCTTCTATTTGAGCCAGGTCTTGCAGCCTCTGGAATACCCCTCTCACAGCATCCCTACACTCTGGGGCAGAGTTCTCAAAATCCTATACACACACATGTTATACAAAATCCTATACACACACATACACAAAAAAAAATGTATGCACGCATGACTGTAAGTCGCTTTGGATAAAAGCGTCTACTAAATGGCATATTATATATTATATTATATTATATTATGTTGGGGGGATATTGTTAACAGAGAAATTAAGATTGTAGAAAATGCAGGTCAAGTGTGAACTTGCAGATGTGACATCCTGGAGAAACTGTGTGGATTCCCCCATTTTTGCAGTGGACAGGATGGGAGCACTGGCAGCCAGAGCCCCTGCTACGATGTTGAGGTACCTCACCGACAGCATTCCTCCATAACTGAAGGTGAGACAGAGAAAAGACAACCTTTGTATGAGAGACTAGCCTATCTCTAATGAAGTTGATGATGTTGTCTCATTGAGTATCAGACTAATACTTAGGAAGCACAGAATTGGGAATTAACTGGATCTGTAGAGAATCATAATGCCTTTATTATTGGAGAATATATTTGGCACCGCAATTACTTAGGATTTTTATCTAAAGGCATTGTAACAGTTTGCTTTGTACCAAAAAAGTGGAACTTGAGTTTAGCTATGAATAATAAAAATTACCTAATTCAATATGATTTCCAATGGCCTGTTATTGAGCTCTTACCTCCCACCAAAGACAACTGGGTATGCTGAGGCTCCTAGCTGCTGTTTCAGTTATGTGATTATGACAGCATAGTCTGCCAGGGCCTGTTCCACCTTCAGTAACCCAAGTACATTCTGTAGTCTGGTATCAAAATGATCATAACAGAGAGAGGTTGACTAAGCACAAACTTATCTGATACCAGAGCCCATATCCATAAAGCATCTCAGAGTAGGAGTGCTGATCTAGGATCTGTACATACAATCTACTCTTGAGACGCTTTTTGGATACGAGAGCAGGCTATTTCTGTGACATAGTTGAGTAACTTCCACAGTTCTGTCATGGTCACAAGCTTCAACATGAACATGTGACACATCATGGCCTCTTCTTACATGCTCAGCAAAGTAAGGATCAGGGCAAGCTCCCAGATGTCTCCCTCGTTTCCTGTGTAGAGGAAGTTGGGTCCATAGCCTCTCTTCCAGTACTCATCTAGAAGGACACAGAGCATGACAATAGTCAAAAGTGGGCATGCAGGTTGGACAGAATAAGATAGGTCAGTATGAAGTGTGTGAAATGTCAATTGATGGATGCTCATTGCTCATTGCTCACCTGTGATTAGGTACTGCTGCTCATAGGTGCCATTGCCCATGCTGTTGAAGTTGAAGTGGTCCAGTATTTTGGGAAAGTATTTATCTTTAAACTGGGGTTTAAAGACCTGATGTCTTACCTGAAAACACCTGTGTGGAAGCCCCTGCGTCTTGGAGTAGAGGGAGAGCAACAAAACAATGCTAATAAACCACAGAGTTGGCATCTTGAAAGGCCTGTTTGTGAAAGCCTCTGCAAATAACTGTTTTTATGAAAAGTTAATTGTCTGAATCACATAACATAGGTTTGTTTATTGACCTCTGAATCCAGGCAACGTATTGGGCCCTGTGCACACTGGGAGTTGTAGTTCTTTCAATCGACTCAGCTGTGAAGTCCTAAAAGGCACTATCACAAGGGAGACACACTACTAAATATTGCCCCACTAAGGTATCCCATTATGGCAGCTACAGCATCGGACACATGGGGGAATAAATTAATTTTCAATATTTGACTAATTTGTCCAGATACTGTCAATAGATACCAATAAGATGTGAATGTTGGTGGGAAAAAAAGTATAGTCTTTGAAGACAATGTGAAAATCTCTGTAATTCATTAGAGATGACTGTTGAGTGTGAAAACTCTCCTAATAACGTTAAGTATCAATTTGGAGAGGCATGTCATGATTGTTTGTCTCCCTCCCTCCCTCCCTCCCACACACACACACACACACACACACACACACACACACACACACACACACACACACACACACACACACACACACACACACACACACACACACACACACACACACACACACACACACACACACACACACACACACACACACACACACACACACACACACACACACACACACACACACACACACACACGCTCACTGTCGCTTTCTGTTTTTCTGTATCAGTATTATCAATTGAGTTTGATTGTGCTTGCATGGTTGCAGAGTCCAAATTGGTCAACTACAGCAGACTGGGTTTAGTAGACCAATGTTTATATATTGAGATGAACTGTAAGACTTGGTATACTTTACAAGGTGGAGTTATTACCTCCAGTCAATTGATTTTCAGAAAGCAAAGACCACAGAGGACAAGTTCAAATCAAGATGCAATGATGTCTTTTATTATAAGATTTTTTTTATTTCTTTTTTTTTTTACAGATTGGACAGTCAGGTAGAGGAAGAAAAATACATTTTATGCAAATTACAACTTTGCAGGAAGGTAACATTTTATTGCAGTACTACAGCCTAGGATTTCAATGAATAAAATTGAGAACTTATACCATTCAGTGTCTCACAAAGTATCAGGGAAGGACACGATATAGAACCAGGACACCTCAGTCTTCCTTTTTACAGAGTAAAAATTCATCCAACAATGGTCCAAATAGTAATCTGTGAATTATTTTGTATCACAGAAACAGTCAATAAATAATACTTTTATAACGCCTCAATATTTCTGTTATTCTTTATCTGTAAGGGCTTAAAATATCTATATTTATGTTGTTTGTATACATCTTTCAGACTTCTTTTCCTCAGTGATACTGAGTAAAATATATGTTCTGTATGTATATATATTTTTTTATTACTGTGGATCATTGTGAAACCTCTTATCCGAATGGCATGCTTAAGACTTAAGATTTCTGAAACAAAATCCTGCTTACAAGGGAAATGCATATTCATATTTACATTGAAACACCAGCCACAGGCTCAAACAATTGGAGAGCGAGGGAAAGTTCATTTCCAAATGATCCCTCAGAATAACATCTGAAACATTTTGACCACCTGGCCATTTCTTGAACGACTAAAAGTAACAAGGGACACAAACTTACAGAGACTCGAGCCCAGTCTATTAACTTATCTCCAAGCTTGCGTTATGCTGTACATTACCCCACCATACTCCCTACCCCCAACTTATACAAACGCATGCACGCGCCACATACATTCAAACAATCAAATCAAGAAGCTTATGCTCCATTGATCCAATAACTACCTACACCTACGAGCACCTAATTTAGCGGAATCTTGCTTTTGGTCAGAGGACCTGTTTGAAATGTGAACATGGAAACCAGCTAATGTAGTATATATACTATTCATACATACAGCATCCCTGACCACAAATGGGAAAAATAAGACTGACGTCTATGAACGTTTGCTCTTTCGACAAATAAATGCAGTTCTTGAATTCACTAGAGTATTTAACAAAACTCAAACACATTGACATAACACTGGATTTAAGAATGTGCTCTATAGAATGCCTTAAATCATGGTTGTTTTTACAAGATTATATATATATATAAAGAAAGTACAAATATAAACAAGATATTGATGAAAAATTTGATGAAAATTAAAAGGCAAAAATTCTACAAAAATAAATACCCAGTGTACGTCAGAATAACTTGGTATACTGCAGACAAAAGCACTACATAAAAAAATAAGCTAAGCTAGAGTATGCCTACAAGTTTCACTTTCTTTCCCCTGACTATGGCCTGACACCTTGGATCCAACATTTCTGTAAGCACATGAAAAAAAAAAGTATAAATAAGACATTAATAAATAAAAACAGAATGAATAAAACATAGGTAATTCTTACTGTTAGTATAAAAGCATTTAAAAAGATCCTTCGGTCAAATCAGTTCATAGCTCTGTCTTTTTGTTCTGTTTTCTCAAGAGTGCCTTTTCATACAAAAATATCAAAATCAGTCCATCTTGTCATAACGATACAGTTCTCTACTTAAACTGGTCGGGGATATGTCCGATCTGAGACTGCATGCTGCTGGTTGGTGGACTCGAGATGCCCTCCGACCAGTCAGACATGTTAGAATGCGGGGAGGAGCTGGACCATTGGTCGGGAGACCCGGGGGAAGGGGTCAGAAAGGGGTGGTCGGGGACCTGTAGCTGGTGGTTGGGGGTGTTGTCCATAGGGCCAGAGTAGCTGTGCTGGGAGGGAGGGGTGAGGTACTGGGTGCTGGGCAGGTTCTGGCTCATGATCTGGGTCTCCTGGGGTAGGATGGTGTGGATGGGCATGGAGCCCTGGTTCCCTGTGCCCTGCTGGAGCTCTGAGCCACTCAGCTCACTGCTGATGAAGTTCTGGCTGATGGAATTGCCACTGGTGCCAGTATTAGAGTTCTGGTGCTGCAGCTGGATGCTCTGTTGCTGTTGCTGCTGTTGGAGCTGCTGCTGCAGGTTCTGTTGGTGCTGCATCTGCTGCTGCATCTGCTGCTGGGCCTGCTGCAGAAGGTGGGGCTGCGAGACCAGCCGGGTGTTCTGCAGGCCCTGGTAGCTCATCATCTGGGACAGGCTGGTGGTGGGGAGCCCGTTGTGGAGAGAGGTCATCATGCCTTGCTGCCCACCCCCCTGGTGCAGACCGCCCTGCCCCCCGACAGGACCAACCCTCATGGGATTGAACTGGCTGGGCTGGCCCATGCTGGCATGCATCCTGGAGAGCCAATCACACTGGCCATTCATGCCCCCCGAGCCGTTGGAGCCTGACACGGGAAGGTGGGTGAGACGGGGCGGCAGTGGGTCGAACTGCATGTGTGCCAGCTCCTGCTTGTTGGGCATGCCCATGTGGTTGACCCCCATGTGGGGGTCGGACATCCCCTGGAGGTGGTTGAGTGACATGGACGGGGACTGCTGGAAGGGGGACGTCATCATGGGAGGGGACGCCACGTCAGAGATATACCCGTGTGGAGACTCCAGGGAGTCCACAGGGGACAGAACAGCTGAGCTATCCAGCAGACTTCCTCCCTTACCATCCTGGGAGGCTTTCTTCTTGTTCTTCATGTCCTTGCCGTCCTTGCAGCCGATGCCCTTGGCACTGGGCTTGCGGGCCTTCTTGCCCTGGACCTTCATGCTGCCCAGATAGCCGTTGGGGGAGCAGAGAGGGGGAGACAAGGTGGTGCCCATGGAGCCTCCATGGGCATGGCTGTGCATGGGCGGGCTGCGGACCAGGTTGTACTCGTCCATGAGACGGACAATGTCGTGGTGCATCCTCTCTTGCGCAATGTCTCGGGGCAACCGGTCCAAGTGATCAGTTATCTCGCGGTTAGCAAAGTGCTCCAGCAGGACCTTGGCGGTCTCGTAGCTTCCTTCCCTGGCAGCAAGGAACAGAGGGGTCTCCTCCTGAGGAAGACACAGACACACAGTGAGAAACATGTTTACAGTGGGCCACAGACAGACCGCTCTTTCTTGCAAAATAGATTTAATCTCAGTAACCACGTTTCCATCCTTAGTTTTTATGCAAGTAAAGTCATACCATGTAAAAAAAAAAATCACGACAGTTGTGATGGAAATAGGACGTTTCGGTACAATTTCAGAAATGCCGACAGATAATTTGTTCGTTCGACATGGTGGGATCTTTTTGTGTTGGTAAAAGTAATTATGTGAGAAATGGCGGTGGAAACGCCATTATAACCATCATATAGAAGTAAACTTCACGCAATGATATGGTGTGTGGTCCTCCCACTACGACTCGGGAAAGCATGCAGTTTATTAGGCTACAGATGAAATAAGATATGATGAACTTCACAGGGTGGTGAATGTGCAAGGTGATGAGCTTGATGTTCCTTTCCAATAAATATCGAGGGTCTTATTCTGGGGACATGATGATCGATGCTTAGCTGCCGTTTGACAAATACAAATACTCTCGCTCCTATCCATAATAATCTCATCATGTAGACTAGCCTACCCACACTGTATCTGCGAGCTGCTGGCTAGAGCGCACGTAACAAAACCAGATTAGGCACATTTGCTATTTAACGCAACAGTTTTTGTGACAGAACTATCGGTAGAGTTGAAAATGTGATGGAAACACACTGAACTTCCGATCTTTTTTCGGTAGATGAAAATGTAGGAGAAAAAGTACTGTACATTTGTGTGCACTACGTCATCACGCACTGATTTTTAATCGCAACAAGTCAGTTTGGTGGAAACACACCACTGGTGGGAAAATATGCATATTTTCTTAATGCGGATTTTAGAATATTTGCATGAAAATGTCGGCAATTGGATGGAAACCTAGCTACTGAGAATAAACTGTATAAATAAAGGTTAAATGGAAAAGGAATGTAGCTTATGGAGATATCTTATTCTATGGTAATTTATCAGGCGGCAGAGATTCCTTACCTTGTTGTTCTGCATGTCCTTGTTGGCTCCGTTCTTCAGTAGTACGATAGCTGCATCCACGTTGTTCACTGCTGCTGCCCAGTGCAGAGCAGATTTGCCTGGTGAAAGAGAGACATGGAGAGACAAACGTTCAGTCCACATCAACCCATGCCTGTCTAAACTGACCTAAAGGAACCTGATTATCATTCCTTTTCCAAACCCCACGTTATTTAAACATTTTGTAAAAGGACATGGATTAGAATTACATTTCTTATTTTATTCTGCCCGTTTCCAATTACAAATGTAACGTTTGATTGCATTTCTGGATCGAAAGTGCTTCACCTCTACTCTAGCTCTGATTGAAAGAGTGGATGAGGCCAAGGAGCCAATAGAGATACAACATTGACATAAGAGCCCTACCAAAGTCATCGATAGCGTTGACGTCAGCGTGGCAGTTGATGAGCTCCTCCACCATGCCCTCCACTGCCAGACGGGCTGCCAGGATCAGAGGGGTGGTGCCATCGTGCATGCGGGCATCCAGGTCTGTGGCACGATTTCTGATCAAAATCTACAGAAAGACACAATGAGTTGGTTAACCTTGTATGAGATTATCTATGGAGATACTAAGGAAGAAAGTGCACATTGCCAATCCAATACAGTAGATCTCTTCGCTACTCAAAAACACAAATTAATCTGCATTTGACCCCAACCTGGAAGACGCCCTGAGCATCAGCAGCCACGGCAGCATGTAGCGGGGTCTTGCCCATGTTGTCCTGGATGTTTGCATCTGCACTGGCCTCCAGGAGACGCTTGGCAGCGTCAGAGCGGGCGTAGCGGGCAGCGAGATGGAGGGCGGTCTCCCCTGTGCGGTCCGTCTGACTGTGGAGTTTGGCACCCTGGTAAATGAAATCATTGATCACGTTGGCAGAAGCATCTTCCTCCTCCTCGCTGTTGCCTGTTTCTAGACCTCCACCACTGCAGGAGGCGATCATCAGGGGGGTGAAGCCATCTGGGCAGAAGGAGGGAGGGAGGGAGGGACCATACTTTAGTACCAGGGGAGTTAACTATACTTCAGCATTGTCATTCAGTGCACTAGTGCAGGGTCAGCATGAGACAGAGCCCAGTTCCTGCTACAAACGGTAAGAGTCAGTACTTCAAAGCATGGGGAAGATCAAAACAAAGCAACAAACAAATCGAATGTGGATTTGATGCGTTTGCCTGGGTGAATCATCACAGCTCTCTTTTCGATAACGGATTCTGATCGAGCCCGGCTTTGGGGAGCTTGGGGAAACGGGCCAGTGTATGTGAAACCTAGGCAGCTGGAAAACTGAGCATTATCATCTCTGAGGGGAGGCTCAGCAAGTCGACCTGGATGGGTTTCTCCTCTTCAAAAGAATAGCGAGCCCCAGATCTCACAGATTCGATTCAGGCTCATTGATCGGTTAGGGAGAGAAAACGTGTGTGTATGCTGTGCTTTAGTTCGAGGAGCGTGTTACTGTTGATTTTCTTAAACACTCTTCAGGGGGTTTGACACTTAATAAAAGTGTGTTCTTGTATTTTGGTCCGTTATTGGTTTTATTAATAAAGCATTTGAAGAAAAATGCCTATTAGTGGTCCAATAATGAATGTAAGCAGGAATGAGGAAGGGAGTTTTCCCCTGGGCTCAGGGCTTCAAGCCGCATGCTTTGATCTGGATCCTCTTACCCTGAGGACACAGGGCTTTAGCTACTCCTACCCACACACACACGCTCTCTCTCTTGCCATTGCTCACTCAGAGGTGTAAATTAATCAGCTAATATTTTAGGCAGAATAATACCTTAAAACATGACCATAAGTTTAGTTTGACGTCTATACAAAGCAAGATTTGAAGGTAATATAATACAATTAAATAGGAATCAATATTTAGTGAGTAATACAAATTATTATATTGATAATATTTGAATACTTTGTTAATATTTGTTTAAATATTTGTATCCACATTTTTCCTGCCACTTCTGATGACTCATAATTATGAAGACCTTTCATCTCTCCTTTTTCTAACTGCACTCTGTACCAGTACTGACAACTGAAATGTGACGCAAAAATAATATTGGAACATGAACCTTAAATATAAGAACAGCAATTCCACAAAACAGTTTTACTGAAGTCCTACACACCTTATACACACCAAATTAAATGGTCATACATTCTGTATTCACCCAAAATAATACAATTTCATGAAATGTAATAATCAACTCAATCCTTGTCAGTAGACATAAAAATAAAAATAGATTATAATCACCCCAAAATCAGTCAAGTTCACAGCTAAAATCTGTCCTAATTTCCCTAATGATGAAACGAGCGGCTGTGTACACACCTGGTCCCCGTACGTTGACGTCCATGCAGTCGTTCTCGATCTCCCCCTGAGGGGGTGTGGGGGCGATGGAGGGGATACGGAGGTCAGCCGCGTCCAGGTGCTGCTGGGTCCACTGGCGGTGGTCCGTCTGGTCATCCAGGTCCAGCATCACTTGCTCCTCAAACTGCTGTAATCAGACCAGGGGGTGGACGGACAATCAATTAGCTCACACCGCATCTAAAGCATTTAATCTCAAACCTATTTGAAAACTAAGGTTTAACTAACCAACTTTTATGTATTAAAATGCTGACATTCTGGACAATAAAACCAAAAATCAACACAAAGGAGACTCTACATTTTCAATATCTTAATATTGGTGGATATTAAATTAAAGCTAATTAAATTGAATAGCCTATGTAAATGCATAAATCTTGAAACAAAACTGGAATCAAGTGATATTTGAAGGCCATTATCAATGATGAAAAATAGAAAATCTTCATATATTTCTTTACGTATTTCTTAAGAAGTCCATGTTCTACTCTAATTCCTGTCTTTCTCTCCAACAGTAGGTCCCAATGCCAGTATGTGGGGTCCTTAGACTCCTTACCCTAAAGCGCTTGGCGTCTGAAGGCTCCTCTTCTCCCCATTCATTCTGGTTGTCGTCCATCAGTGATATGTCCAAGGAGTTTTTCAGTGGCCTGTGGTCAGAGAGAAATCCCATTGAAAATCCTGATGCAGCAAGTGAGCTAGCCAACTATCCCAGCTGAGCCCTCTTCCTCAGTGGCAGTGCACCAACACCGAAACAAAAGCATTGATTGAGCCCCCCATCCTGTCCCGTCCCAACACTATCACTCCGACAAGTCAATTAATGTGCCCGTTACCTAAACCTGCTGCATCATTATCATTAATGATCCGAACGAACGCCGTTCCCCCCTCAGCCCCAAAAACTCTCGTCACCGCTCCACACCCTGCTACGACCAAATCCATGACAAACAAACTGTGACCCATGGTGGGAAGACGATGTGGTGCCGCATGGAAACCCAGGAAACTTACTTCAATCCCACCGAATCCTCCCCGACGGGCTCCCTCCTCTTCTTCTTGTTGGGCTCACTGGTCTTGAAACCCTCCGGGAACCACAATTGGCCGTGCTCGCGACGACGCTTCCGTGAGGCGACCATCCCCACGCCCACAAAGGCCAGGAAAGCCAGCCCAGCTAGGACCACGTAGATGGGGTAGAGCTCCGACGGAAGCTGGGGGTCAACCTCACCTGGAGGGGAAAGGGACAACATGATAAGGCGGACAGCAGCGGAGCCTGAGAACCCAGGCAGGCAGACAGGTGTTGGGTTGGTCGCAGGAGGACTGCAAGTCCAGCTCCTCTAGTCTAGTGCAACCCCCTCCTGGAGCCTAGTCCTAGTTGTCCACAGCCAGAGCTACAATGGGAATGAGGAGCGCCGTTTGTAAAACAAGGTTGGTCCTATTCTGTAATAATCAGAATTGCTAACCACTTCTCATCAAATATAAAAAACCACCACCACCTCCTCTCCCCTCTCAGCCCAGGGTACCAGGAGACAACTCTACCATTTCTTCTTTAAGGGGAAAAAAGGGAGGGATTAATGAACTTCAAATTACTGCACGCGCTTTAAGCTGTAAAGACCAAGGATTTATTAGGATTTTCAAGATAACAAAGACTCCCAACTTCTAGCACACTCCCGATCAATTCTTCCCCTTCGCTTTTTTTCCACTAACGATTTTGAAATGATAAACTCTCTCAACCCAAACCCTTAGAGATGCATTAAGTCCTGGTATTACATTCAGCGAGGTGAAGGTTGCAGCAGCCTCACAGTGTGGGATGAAGTGTGTGTGTGTGTGTGTGTGTGCGCATTAGAATGGTATGTGGATGGGGTAGGGGGCTGGATGAGTTGATTTACGACAATTAACCATTTTGGAGCCTGAAGCCATTGGATTTAAACACAGACTGCTGCATTGATTGTTTAGTCCATGTGATTCACAAGTACATTTGTTCCATTGTTGAATACCAAATACACAATCAAAGAACACCCCGTCATCCCTTTGTGGTGTTGGAGGGTTAAGACCTAGGGGATGAATACCTTCACAGTGTGTGTGTGTGTCTGTATGTAGGGCTGGGGTATGAGTAGGGTGGCATTAGGGATGCAGTCCGGGGGTGTTGCAGCAGTACTCTTGGCCCCTGGTGACTGTTAGAATGGAAGAAGAGAGAAACTCACTGTGAACTGCCTCTATGATGTAGGGAACGTTGAGGTTTCCACTGGAGGCCAGGGCCCCTAGGAAGGCTGCTACATCAGTGGCACTCTGGAAGCACTCTGTGGACTGCTGGACGCACTGGCGGTTGTCAATCTCCAGGTACACTATGCAGCTGTGGCGGACAGAGTCACATTACACACATTAGACCTGATCTAAAACCCAGAGGGAAGAAAGGACAGCACCATGGTTTCTGTTCAGGGAACTAGCAGCAGTTCTTTAAAAGCCAGACACTGGTTTTCCATCACAATGGATGATCATACAACAAATCGCTACCGAATATGTGGAAGGGCAGTTTACTTCACACAGAAACTAGTTAGACTTTCACGTAAATGTGAGGTTTGCATGAACATTCCATTGAAATCCAGATTCCAAATGAGGATTGTTTCCAGAACATTTGTCTCACCCTTTGATCTGCATGGGGTCCAGCTCCCTGCGTCTGCGGCTGCTTCCATTGGCTATAGTATACATGCTGTTCTTCATGGAGTTGAGCACAGTGTCAGGGATCTCTGTCCGGCCCACCGAGCGCTTCATGTTGTGTTTCTTCAGCTCCTGCTCACTGCCGTAATACGGGTAGATCATCATCTGTCCCTTAGCGTCCTGCTGGAACACCACATTAGTGTGGATCACGCGGCTCAGCTCTCGTAGGAAACCAAACGAGTTGTTCCGGAGCTGGTCGGGCATGATGTGGACCACGATGACCAGGCGGCCCACAGCGAGCTTCTCTGGCATGTTGTTGGCACAGTCCAGACCGTCCCACTCACACTCTGCGTTGTTGCAGCCCTGGTCACAGTGGCCGTCCGCATAGTGATCCTTACAGTACTGGTCGTACAGAGGACTGGAGAGACAGAGTAAAGAGCATTATTCAGTATGGCTTTTAATGGGATGTATATTGTTTAAAGAAAAGCTCAGACTGTTGTTCAGGCCTTGAACTGCTACTCAGACTTGATGTACTATCTACAGCATTAGCGGAATCAGGTGAGTTAAAGTAGGTCTGGAGCAGAACCCTGCATAGCCAGTAGGTCTCAAGGTGGATTGGCCTACCCTTATCGATTATTCAGTATTCAGACCCTGATGGCAAGCGTCTCACTCACTTGCACTGGCCCTCCAGGCTCTGACAGTCGAAGCCATCGTAGAGACACCCGGCGTTGTTACACTGCTCGTCACACTTCCCGTCGTTGAAGTAGCGCCAGCACTGCAGGGATGTCGTGCAGTTCTTCCACGGGTCATTGAAGTTGAGCGAGCAGTCGCCCCCGTCCCAGCCACACGCGTGGTTGTTACACAAGATATCACAGAACTTGTTCCCCTTCCTCTCCTCACACTGGGGGATCTCACAGCTCACCTCCACCTCCGGCGGGGGCGTGATGTCACGGCCGAACCCGCCCAGGAAGCTGTAGTCCAGGATGTGACATAGCAGGCCGTTGAAGTTGGTGGGGCATACGCAGTGGTAGTATGGAGCCTCTGAGCTGTACTCACAGGTTCCCCCATTGTAGCAGGGGTTGGTGTTACAAGGGTTGTCTGTGGGGTATTCACACTCTGGCCCCGTGAACGAGGAGGTACAGAGACACTTTGGGCTCTTGTGTCCAGAGATGCAGGTGCCACCGTTCCGACAGTGAAGAGTGCCACAGGAGTGGGCATCGTACTCACAGGTGGAGCCAGTGTATCCCTGTAGAGGAGAAGGAGAGGAAATGTGTCAATGTTAATATTACTATTAAATGTATTACAGTATGTTGAATGAATGAAAACACAGTGCAACACATCTGCTGAATGTCTTTATACATGTCTCTTATACAGTGTCTTTGGCAGAACTACGCCAGCAGCTGTGGTTGTGTGTGAACTTACAGGTGGACACTTGCAGATGAAGCCGTGAGGAGTGTTGCTGGCTACGGCACATGTCCCTCCGTTACGACAGGGTTTGCCCTTACAGCCGTCAAACACTGTGTCACAACGCTGTCCTGTAGGATCACATAGAGAGCAGGTTACATCAAGGACTGAAATGTTCCCTTATCAATAAGCCAATCACAGGTTAACTTGTAATGCCATAGAGCAGGAGTCTCCAACCCTGTTCGTGGAGAGCTACCCTCCTGTAGGTTTTTACTCCAACCCTAGTTGTAACATTTCTCCTGCAAGTCCAAGGTGATTCGTCTCGAAAAAGACAGGAATGTCAATTATTTTAAAAAAAAGTCTACATTATTTTCCCCTAGTCTTTGCTTTCCCATACTCAACCCCATGAAATAACTAATTGACATGAAACTAAACCCAACCCTGCAGTCACTCTCCAGCCAGATCCAACATATTTGCCTCCTCTACGTTAAATGCTACCTGTGTATCCAGTGCGGCAATCGCAGCGGTAGTTGTTGGTGAGCTGGATGCAGTTGTGTGTCCCGCGGGGGTCACATGGGTTGGACAGGCACTCGTTGACGTCCCCCTCACAGCGCTCCCCTACGTAGCCCGCGGGACAGATGCAGTGGTAACCTCCCACCCTGTCCACACACTTCCCCTTGTTGAAGCACTTGGGCTCGTTGGTGACTTGGTCTGTGAAGGGGTTGCAGTCGTCTATGTTGATCTCACAGTGAACGCCTGAGAGGTAGAGGGGAGGAACAGTCAGCCTAAACACTCAGATGGGACACCATCAGGGGATCATAGGAGGATAGATGTATGACCTGCAATGGTTCAATACACATTTTAATTTACCGTTTCACAATGTTTTCTCTTGTTTGCTCCTTTTTTTGGCAACATTAATTTCAACAGTACTTCAGCTGACCTACAAGAAACACACCCTTTATGTCCAAGAGATAAATCAATCCTGCATTTGACGGGCGGGGAGTAGAGTTTCAGACATGTGCTGGACGCTGTTAAGCCCTAATTAATGAAGTGTGGTGGATTGAGAGAGGTAGAGGTAGAGAGAGAGCGAGAGAGAGCGAGAGAGAGACAGATAGAGTGGGAGTGCGGAGAGGAACCTAGGAGACCAGAGGAGCGAGGGATAGAAGGAGGGAGAGGATGTGTGTGGAGGTGGGTGGTCGGGCCCTGACCTTGGGTTCCCCTGGGACAGGAGCATTTGTAGGTATTGATCAGGTCAATGCAGGTGCCCCCGTTCTGGCAAGGCTGGGAGAAACACTCATTGATCTCGTTGGAGCAGTTGGTCCCGACGTATCCTGGCACGCACTGAGAGAGGAGAGAAAAATCAACGACTGACATGAAACAAGGCAGTTTCTGTTTACCTGGCTGTTTTTGCCAGTTTTACGCACAGGTCAGCAAATTCTCTTTCGTCAGAGAGCTCCATAAATGAGCAGTTTGTGGGTCTGTTTATAAACAGCCTTCATCAGTAGGGTTTTAATAGGGAGAATCATTTAGAAAGGATACCAACACACTTATTTACACTACCCAAAAATGTGACAATAATTTCAAAGTGAGAATGTCTGACAATGCTTCTACCAGACCAAGACCAGGAAACACTTATAAATAAACATGTTTGGGGGTGTAGAATCACTGTTGAGCCTAGGTATCGTTTCAACATTAGGCTACATTTGTTATGCGTTTCACCCAGGACCTGAGAAATAAGTGGAGCATGCTGTGTTCATAGTGAGCAGCCTACCTTGCAGGAGTACCCTCCTAGGAAGTCAGTGCAGGTGGCTCCATTCTGACACGGGTTGGGGGTGCACTCATCCACCTGCTCCTCACAGTAGCTGCCTGTGTAGCCCGCCTGGCAGTGGCAGTAGTGGGTGTTCCCAGCGTCCAGACACTGGCCTGAGTTAAGACACAGAGCAACTACCTCCACACCTGGAGGGGGGAGGGCAGAGAGATGGAGAACATGTAGTCAAGTGTTTTTGTTACAGGTATGAGATTGATACTAACACCAAAAAAACACACACACACACATGCAGACGTTCACACACACACACACACACACCCTCCTTAACTAGTGTTACCTCTTTGTTTGGCTGCCACCTCGCAAGAGACGCTTGGCACATCGCAGTAGAGCCCTGTCCAGCCGGTCTGGCACTCACAGCTGTAAGTGGTGCCAGTCTGCCAACAGGTGCCCCCGTTCTTACAGGGAGACGAGTCACACCAGCGTACCAGATTCTGAGGAGAAACACACACACCATAGACACAGTTAGTCACTAGGTGAGTAGACAGGTGAAAGTAACTAGAAATGAACACGTTTGTTTCACAGCTACAAACATCATTATAGCTACCGTTTGTAGTGCGTGTTAACTTAAATGTCTTCATACCACCTTTGTTTAGCCAAGTATTTGATTAATAAAAGCACATTTTATATGACGATAGCAACATGGTATATTGCCTACAGCCAGTATAAAGTCAGTGTCACTGGGCATACACTGTACCTGGCAGTTGAGTCCAATGTAGCCCTGGGGACAAGTACACTTGTAGGTTCCATAGCTGTCCTGGCAGGTGCCTCCGTTCAAGCAGGGCCTGGAGTCACACTCGTTGATGTCGTGTTGGCAGTAGCTGCCAGTGAAGCCAGGTGGGCACAGGCAGGTGTAGGTGTTGATGCCGTCCAGACACGTCCCACCATTGAAACAAGAGCTGGGGAAAAAATAACATCAAAACATCAATAAAGCAATACCAGATGTATCATGTTAAAGCTGGATTCAATGTTTTTATTAGTCCAATTAGTAAAGTGACTTAAGTGTGAATATCTTGGGCTATAATGGGATTGTCGTTTAGTGTTATTATACTTTCTGCCACAGGGGGCAGAAGTGGACAAGAGAACAGTGTTAGGTATGAGCTACATTCATCGTTTGTGACAGAGATGCAACAGGCCATGTGAGGAAGATAAATCAAAAAGAAATAGGAATCCAAGCTCTCTTTACCTCTCAGTGCAGTCAGGTGTGTTGTTCTCACAGTGTATCCCACTGAAGCCAGAGGGACAGGTGCAGGTGTAGCTGTTGACACAGTCTGTACAGTTGGCGCCATTCTTACATGGGTTACTGTCACACTCGTTGATGTCCTCCTCACACTTAGTGCCACGGAAACCAGGCAGGCAGGTGCACACAAAGTTGTCCACCTCGTCCCGACAGAAACCTCCATTGCTGCAGGGGTCTAAGGCGGGAGAGACAAGAGAGAGTAGGGAGAAAAGTTAGCTGATAGCTTAGCACACTGGCTGCGGCTCAATAGTCTTGACTAGCTTCTTTCTTTTTTCCCCACTGATAACAAGGCAGATGTTATAGCGATGTTTTCGAGGCCTATCTAGTCTTTAACCTATCAGTCATAAAAGAAAAGAGCCAATGAGAGGGAGCAACTTTAGAGTATTGAGACATGGCCACTGTCTCATATCAACCTGAAAGGAGACTTACTGGGCTTGCAGTCGTCAATGTTGGTTTCGCAGTTGCGGCCAGTGTAGCCGGCCTTGCAGCCACAGCGGTAGTTGCCTTTGGTGTTCTCGCAGGTGGCCCCATTGCGACAGGGGTTCTTCACACACTCATTAATGTCCACCTCACAGGTCTGGCCTATAGAGGGTAAGGCAGAGGAGGGAGGGGGAAGGCTTACTACACACACAACACTGAGATCATTTGGCCATTTTCTGAGATATTTTGCCTATTTTCATATATCGATATACTGACATATGTGTATATAAATGCATAAGAATGACCATTCTACTATAAAGATATTGCTCCCTCACCTTGCCAGCCCTCTGGACACACACAGGAGAAGTTCTCGTAGTCCTCAGACTCCTGACACACACCTGTGTTCTTACAGGGCTTGGTGCTGCAGGGTGCCAGCAGGGTCTCACAGTTCTCACCTATCTCACACACACACACAAACAAACTTTTAGATAATGGACATCAACTATGCTCAATATTAATATTCTCATATTAATATAAATGTCTAATACTATTGTTTTTCGGAACCAGAGTATCATGACTGGAAGTAGTGGGTGTCTGGATAGACTGCCCTACATACATAATGCTTTTATTGGACATTTAAACACACACTTCATTCAGGAGGATATCAGGAGGCTTCTTGACCACAGTGTAAAGGTCTGTGAGTGTTAGAGAGCAGAGCTGTTTGGGCATGTGGAGACAATTCCCTTTCTGTTTTCACGACACCCAGCGTGGACAGGAAGCAGGCTGGCGTTTCCTGCTATTGTCAAGGCATTTGCTGTTCTGTGAGACAGGAAGTCTGCAAACAGGAAATGTGTCAAGCAGCCGGGCCGTTCGTTCCCCACCCCGTCCGTCACACAACCAAAGCCGCTATTATTCCAGCTCCCAAAGCTGTGTGGAGTTTTCCAAAAAGAAGACTCAGGGAATAAATAAAAAATGTGCTTGCCCAAAGGCAGTCCATCATTATCTGTTTTTTCAAATGATACGACAAGGGAGGAAAGGAAAGGACGTGAGGACTGCTGAAAAATATTGGGTTGTTATCATGGACACTTGTCATGGAGGTCCAAGGTCAACACAACAGACACAAGAGTCTTTTAGCCAAGAGGAAGTATTGCTGCTGAACTTTCATCGACAGCTTGGTCTTCCGGAGCATGTTTTTCCTGTATGTCCAATGCCTTGAAGAAGATACAACTTAGAGCCCCACAGCAAGGGAAAACAAAACACCACACTTAGACAGACACTCAGACAACTATTTCACAATAGCCAAATATGTTCATACCGGTATATGGCAGTAGGCAGTTGCACTTGTAGCCAGCGACATCATCGATGCAGGTCCCTTGGTTCAGGCAGGGATTGGAGGCACATTCGTTGATGTTGGTCTGACAGCTTGGACCTGGAATCAAAAGGTCAAGAAGATATGAAGCACATGAGTTGGAGTTTGAGTCAGGGTCAAATAGATCAAAACAGTACAATGTATTGATGGTGGGAGTGCAATGTAAAGGACCACACACACACACAAACACACTAACTCACCAGTGAAGCCCACTCTACAGGAGCAGACGTATCCGCTGGTCATATCCTTGCAGGTGCCTCCGTTCATGCAGGGGTTGGACTCACACTCATTGTTGTTGATGTCACAATTCTTGCCACTCCAGCCATTGTCACACAGACAGTTGTAACTAAAGACAACATAGAAAAGCTAAATATTAGAGAAAGACATTAACTTTCACTTTGATTCCTCACACAAAATCCACACCTTTTATGAATGCTTAGGGATTTACTGTAGATACTGTATATTCATAGTTCCATACCATACATGTAGGGAAGATTTCTAGATGTAAATGAAACACAACTATGTAATTTTCTTGGCAGAGGAGCTATGGAGACAGATGAGAGAGGCAGACTCACCCGTTGACTTTGTCTTGACAGTGGCCATGGATACAGGGGTTGCTAAGGCACTCGTTGACTTGGGAGAAGCAGGTGGTGTCCTGGTAACCCTCTGGGCACATACAGGTGAAGCTGTTGGTGCCATCGATGCAGGTGCCACCGTTGTGACACGGGTTGAGGGCACACTCATCAATGTTGATGTTGCACATTGTCCCTGTGAACCAGAACCCATGAACATGTTTACTTCTCCGACCCCTCATACAGTAGTGTCTCAACTTTTTAGCACTAGGAACGTTTATAGTTTACAAACGCATTAAATTGGTTTAACAAAAATTATACAAATTAATAATACTTTATGGTTAGAACTAACATAATATTATTTGGTAGTCTTTGGAGTTTGGACTTGGTTAGATTTCTATGAAGATATCATTTTGAAGTAGAACGCAAAGCACAACCCATACTACACCAGACAACGGACCAGACAATGGCCTCTATATCCCCACAGTAAATGCATCCACCTCGAGAAACATGGGGTTTTTAAGTCTGCTTTTGTCGGTCAATTGAAGCACCGCAGCCATTCAGCCGGTGCCACGCATAACATAAAGAGAGGCCATTTAGCCCTAAAGCAGGGACCAACTTCTCCCCTTCTAAAAGATCAACTTTCGGGAATATTTCAGGGGATCTTTTCTCCTATAAAATCCCCAGTGAGTGTTGGTCCTTTCAGAGCCTGGTGAGAGAGGCCAGTTTGTGTGTCTAGGCAGCAGGTTGTGGACAGGGAGGGGCTGGAAAGTGACACCGCCACTGATGGCCTCAAAAGGAGTGCATTCGCTCACCATCTGTTACCCCTCCCTCTCTTCCATCCCTTCATCCTGCCCGCTACGCCCTTGTTGTCCTGCCCTCGCCTGAGAGGTCTGAATAGGAGACAGACTCGCGTGGAGGTAGGAGTACCCTCTTCAAACCTCAACCTGGGTTGCCACAGTCAGACAAACTGCTACAGTAGCTACTTACCGCTGTAGCCGGGCTCGCAGGCACACTCGTAACCGTTGATCTTGTCGATGCATGTCCCATAGTCACATGGCTTGCTCTTGCAGTCGTCCAGGTTGATTTCACAGTTTATACCTAGGAGCAAAGGAATTAGCATCAAAGTTTCTATAATAACATTTTCACAGATGAAAATACATCTGGGTGATTTTATTGTCAAGGACAATTTTGAGTTGAGAGGAGAAGTCTTTTAGTGTGTGTATGTGTGTCTGACCTGTGGTGCCCTTGGGGCAGGTGCAGATGTAGGAGTTCTCGCGGTCCTGGCAGATGCCTCCGTTCCGACAGGGCTGACTAAGACACTCGTTAATGTTGGTCTCACACAGCCGCCCTGTGTAACCAGGGCGACAGTAACAGGTGAAGGAGGCCAGGCCGTCCTTACAGGTACCATAGTGACAGGGGGCCGAGAAACACTCATTGATGTCAGTCTCACAGTGTTGCCCCGTGTAACCTGGTAGAAAGAGATGAAGTTGGTCACTTTTGTCTAATTTCTCCCCATTCTGTTCAGGATCCATAAAACAGTGTTGGTATATTTTTTTATCTTTGTTGTTGCTTTGTTGTTGTTTTGTATACCCTCAGTGCATTCGCAGGTGTACTTGTTGGGGCCGTCCGTGCACTTGGCGCCATTCTTGCAAGGCGTGCTGGCGCACTCATCAATATCTATCTGGCAGAGATTCCCAGCAAAGCCTAGAAAAACAAGAAGAGGTGGGGGTAAGTTTGTGTGCGTGAGTGAGTGTGTGTGTGGTGGTGGTTGGGGGGGGTGGGGGGGGTCGTTAGAGTGATCTCACCAAGCCCAAACTATTCCCACTCTTTCCCTGGAAGCCTACATACATTATGAGAGCCCTCAACGACAGAGGTGGCTGCATATTAATCAACATCCCCGTTTTCCCTTTTCTTTTCTTTCTACTCCTTTTCACTACTTCTCCCAAAAAGAAACTGCATCTGAGGGGGGGGGGGGGGGGGGTGAAAAGAAGGGGAGAAAAACTTCCAAGGCCTCATGACCAGGAGTGAGAGACAAAGGGGGGACTGTCTGCTCAATGCAACGCGAAGCCGAGCCGGTTGCCTCTTTTGTCCCCCAAAACTTTTCCATCACAATGTGCATTCTCCCGTCTTGCTTTCGCCCCTCTCCCCGCCCACCTCTCCCAAAAGGGCCAGCTTGACCTCTGAACTCAGCTATTCAAATCCCTCATCATTCAAAATCAACCAGCAGGCTCCCTTTTTTTCTCTAGTTATTCTAATCTGTATTTTTTTTTTTCTTCTTCCAACTTCTGTCGCTGGAGCACATTTGAATTCTAAGCGGTAAGGAGATGGATTCTGTTTGATAAAGAGATGAAGCTTCCCCCCCCCCCTATTGGAACACACAGGGGTTCTAAGCCAAGCAGCCAGCCAGACATCCCAGTGGTCACTAACCCAGATAGGAAGTGGCTACATGTCTAGCTGTTAGCTCTGCTCCCAGTGGATTCACAACACAGGGCCCCTTTCGCTTTAGACTGTCCATGTTAACGTTACCTCACACACAACACAGAGAGGGGATTTAGCCCAGGTTTCTGTAATCACACATTTCAAACCGCCCCAGTGGGGTTTCCATGGAGATGGTGTGTACAGAAATGAAAGGCGAGGACCCTACCCTACCCCAGCCTGGGCTTACACAAGAACAAATTTACATCTCAAGAAGGCAATTCCCCTCTGATCCCCCCTAGAGCATAACCGTCTGTGTGTCTCAGTCCCCTCCAGTACCCCAACACTGCCTCCCACCTCCTTCCACTTTCACCACTGTCTCATTCAGGCCCCCCTCACCCCTGTCCCATATACATGGTGGGGGGGTGCTTTTCAGCAGTTAAGCTCTTGTGTTCTCTGCTGTACCTCCCTACAATTAATTCCTCAGCTTCCTAACTGCACTTTCTCAACACAAGAAGCCTCCTGCCTTTCTCTCTGAACTGTCTTTGATCCGATCCGACTGAGAACTGCACTCAATTCCTCCACAATTACTTCCACCTCAGTAGGCCTGGTGAAAGAGGGTGAGAAACCTTCCTCTGTGTCGGTCGGCCTCACGTTTTTCTATCAGAGCATTCCTCTGCTAACAAAACCCTCAATGCCTCTCGTCACATAGTCTAACCCCAATGGAACCCCTGGAGAAATACCTAATGAAATCATCTAAATTCAAAACTTCACTACACACAAAACTAGAGGCTCACCACAACAGCTTCTCCAACTACACAGAAATGCAATACGTGGAAACACAACACTATTTCAGCTGCTATTCTTAGTCCTTCTTTCCTTAGTTCTCTCTCAATTAACGTTATTGTGGCTAGCTACATCCAAACCAAGTTTAAGTGCACACTCATCAGAGTTGAGAGTAAAAACTTGTTCAAAGTGTAAACTTCCTCAAGCCCTTCTTTATGGATTTTCCTCCTCGTCGGGCGCTGGCCTGGTAAAGCCTGCCTGAGGCAAGGATTAGAGTCCGCCTCCCGCGCCCGTCCTGTCCGGGGGGGGGGGGGGGGGTGATCGACCCCCCTCCTCCCGCTGCGGCGCACCGGGGCTCACCTGTGGGGCACTGGCAGTGGAAGGTGTTGATCTTGTCGATACACTTCCCATTGTTCAGGCAGGGGTTGTTGGCGCACTCGTCCGTATTGATCTGGCAGAACAGTCCCTCGTAGCCTGTAACCAATTAGCAAGGGAAACAAGGGCCGGTTAGTTAGTGTACAATAACTATGCCAGATTTCCTGACTTCACAGCTATACGTTTAGATTGTTGTCATCCTTTTTTTTCTTTTTTAGGGGGTAGATCAGCTTGACTATTTCAGATAGATTGTAACTTCCATCAATGTAATTGTCTGCATCACTTCCAATCCCCCATATGGTTTTTTTTCTCGCAAATATATACACTGCTCAAAAAAATTAAGGGAACACTAAAATAACACATCCTAGATCTGAATGAATGAAATAATCTTATTAAATACTTTTTTCTTTACATAGTTGAATGTGCTGACAACAAAATCACGCAAAAATTACCAATGGAAATCAAATTTATCAACCCATGGAGGTCTGGATTTGGAGTCACCCTCAAAATTAATGTGGAAAACCACACTACAGGCTGATCCAACTTTGATGTAATGTCCTTAAAACAAGTCAAAATGAGGCTCAGTAGTGTGTGTGGCCTCCACGTGCCTGTATGACCTCCCTACAACGCCTGGGCATGCTCCTGATGAGGTGGCGGATGGTCTCCTGAGGGATCTCCTCCCAGACCTGGACTAAAGCATCCGCCAACTCCTGGACAGTCTGTGGTGCAACGTGGCGTTGGTGGATGGAGCGAGACATGATGTCCCAGATGTGCTCAATTGGATGCAGGTCTGGGGAACGGGCGGGCCGGTCCATAGCATCAATGCCTTCCTCTTGCAGGAACTGCTGACAAACTCCAGCCACATGAGGTCTAGCATTGTCTTGCATTAGGAGGGACCCAGGGCCAACCGCACCAGCATATGGTCTCACAAGGGGTCTGAGGATCTCATCTCGGTACCTAATGGCAGTCAGGCTACCTCTGGCGAGCACATGGAGGGCTGTGCGGCCCCCCAAAGAAATGCCACCCCACACCATGACTGACCCACCGCCAAACCGGTCATGCTGGAGGATGTTGCAGGCAGCAGAACGTTCTCCACGGCGTCTCCAGACTCTGTCACATCTCTCACATGTGCTCAGTGTGAACCTGCTTTAATCTGTGAAGAGCACAGGGTGCCAGTGGCGAATTTGCCAATCTTGGTGTTCTCTGGCAAATGCCAAAGGTCCTGCACGGTGTTGGGCTATAAGCACAACCCCCACCTGTGGACGTCAGGCCCTCATACCACCCTCATGGAGTCTGTTTCTGACCGTTTGAGCAGACACGCTTAGGCCTCTACTTCTAGCCCATACATACTATATACATTTTATGGACACAGTCAAATTCTACAATAATTATGCACATTTGTGGCCTGCTGGAGGTCATTTTGCAGGGCTCTGGCAGTGCTCCTCCTGCTCCTCCTTGCACAAAGGCGGAGGTAGCAGTCCTGCTGCTGGGTTGTTGCCCTCCTACGGCCTCCTCCACGTCTCCTGATGTACTGGCCTGTCTCCTGGTAGCGCCTCCATGCTCTGGACACTACGCTGACAGACACAGCAAACCTTCTTGCCACAGCTCGCATTGATGTGCCATCCTGGATGAGCTGCACTACCTGAGCCACTTGTGTGGGTTGTAGACTCCGTCTCATGCTACCACTAGAGTGAAAGCACCGCCAGCATTCAAAAGTGACCAAAACTTCAGCCAGGAAGCATAGGAACCGAGAAGCGGTCTGTGGTCACCACCTTCAAAACCAGTCCTTTATTGGGGGTGTCTTGCTAATTGCCTATAATTTCCACCTGTTGTCTATACCATTTGCACAACAGCATGTGACATTTATTGTCAATCAGTGTTGCTTCGTAAGTGGACAGTTTGATTTCACAGAAGTGTGATTGACTTGGAGTTACATTGTGTTGTTTAAGTGTTCCCTTTATTTTTTTGAGCAGTGTATATACACACATATATATATATATATACACACACACACACACACATATATATACACATACATACATATATACATGCATCCATACACACACACATATCCTTTTTTAAATTATATTTCCCTTCATTACTTTCCAACCCCACCACCCCTTCCCCAATTGGAGTAAACTAGTGAACAACAACACTTAGGCCTCTACTTCTAGCCCATACATACTATATACATTTTTTGGACACATTCAAATTCTACAATAATTATATTTTGTTTGTTTTTACTCCTGAACTTCCTCTGATCATTTTCATGATGTCCATCTGGTTTGCTTCTATATGCCATATTTTTCTAACTGTGCTCTTTCATAAAAGCTCTCAACCTATAACCTATATACTTATTATAGACACAGTATGCTTTACATTAGTTATTTTGTTGTTATTAGTTGTTGTTATTAGTCCCATCCTTCAGCTCCATTCAACACCTCCCATCTATATCTTAACACCATCCATATTGGATTTCTATTTGCCATATATTTTTCAACTGTACTGTGATGTTTTACAAAAGTTCTGAACCTTTCTATTCTCATTGTTTCTACAGATCGTAAATTGAATATAAAATGTTTTGCTAAAAGTATTATCATATTATTGATCAATTGACTATGACTTTTCAGATCACCCAGTAGTGCTATCTGCAGGGTTAGCTCCAGGTAAATATTGCAATCCTTTAGCCATTCCTGGACCTGTGTCCAAAAACAAGCTAAAAATGGACAGTACCAAAACAAATGATCTAATGATTCTGTCTCTTCGCAGCAAAATCTGCAGAGCTGGGAAGATTGTATCCCCCATATAAATAACATTCTATTGGTAGCAAGAATTGTATAAAATAATTTAAATTGAAAAATTTAGATTTTTAAATAAAATATTTTAGAATCCGGCGTCGTTTTGCATATCAATTCATCAACACTATGCCATGGAATCGGTACGTCAAAAATCTCTTCCCAACTATTTTGCAATCTATATGGGACGGCTGTCAATCCTTTGGTCCTTAAATGAAACTGGTATACTTTTTTATTTTCTTTAATGCAAGGCCGACAGACAAGTTCCTTACTTTTTCCCCCTTCTACTTTCCTTTTCCATTTGTTGTCATCCTTTGATTAAAAAGGGGCCTTTAAACTTGCTAACAAGAAGAACTTATACTGATGTCGGTAATTAGCTGTGTGTGTGTGCTTGCGTGCGAGCGTGTGTGTGTGTCAGTTACCTGGCATACAGATGCAGTGGAAGCCTCCTATCTGGTCGAGGCAGGTGGCTTCGTTCTGGCAGGGGTTGGAAAGGCACTCATTTACGTCATGTTCACAGCGAGCCCCAGAGAAGCCGGGCTGACACCTACACTGGAATGAACCCTTGGTGTTCAGGCACTTCCCTCCGTGCTCACAGGGGTTGCCACCTAGACACAGAGGGAGACATGGAGTGTACCTTAAGTAACATGTTACAGGGCGTGCTCCTTCATGCTGCTGTGTAGTGGTTGCTACCTGTCTGTCTGTCTGTGTCTCTGCCCTCTCTGATGTTGAGTGATTCACATTTCTAGTTAATGACTAACAAAACCTATTCCTGTAATGATCTAATGTGTGTTCATGAAAAGCATCCCTCACTGGTCTGAGTCTACTTACCCAGCGAGCACTCGTCAACATCCTGGTCACAGGCGGCGCCAAAGTAGCCCAGGGGACAGGTGCAGATGGCCTTGCCGTTGACGGGGTTGGTGTCACAGTTGGAGCCTTTCTGACAGGGGTTACTGATACAGGCGTCATCCAGGTGACACAGCAAACCTGGCACAGCACAAGAACAACAGGAGACGTTGATTGGTTCAATCGTTGCAGTTATTTACTTCGTTAAAGGTATTTATTTAGTTGTTGCTTTTCAACCATATAATAACTAGCTACTGTTAATGCAGTGAAACTATCTGTGCTGCTGGCACTGGACAAGGAAACGCTATTTAGTATCACTAGTGACCACAAGAGATTTAGCATAAATTAGTAGATATACAAGTGTGCAAAGCTCAGGGTCAGATAAATGGAAAATCTATGAGAAATTAAGAAGACCAAAGTTTATCGGCTCACCTGTGCGACCATGGGGACACTCGCAAAAGAAGGACGCCACACGGTCGTGGCAGATGGCACCCTGATTGCAGGCAGCATTGGCGCAGTCGTCAATATTCTCTCCACAGTCATCCCCCGTCCACCCGTTGACACACACACACTGGTAGGCACCGTAGATGTTGTGGCACGTTCCTCCATTCTGGCATGCATTGGGCATCAGTTGGCACTCGTCAACGTCCTCTGTACAGAACTGGCCTATAGGGGAGAACATGGGTTAAAATGCACTTGTCAACAGGCCACAGTGCACACAAACAAGTCAAAAGAGTCAAAGAGAGCAAAAGATTAATAGTAATCATAAGAGTCAAAAGAAAGGAGGCTTCCATTATAGAGATCGGAGTCGGGTAAAAGTTACCCCCTAATCACTGATGCAAGGTCAGATATGTTTTTATTCGCCCAATGGTCTTGGTTAGGATTGAGGGTTAGTAATCTGATCCTAGATCTGTATTTATGAGAAACTTCTACCATGAGCGTAGAAATGAGTTGGTTGGTGGTGGGGTGGGATGGGGTGGGGGGGGGGGGGGGGGGGGTTACTGTATAGTTACCTGTGAATTCAGGTTTGCATTGGCAGTTATAGGTGTTAACCCCATCCACACAGGTTCCTCCATTCTGACAATCGTGTCTTGGACAGTCATCAATGTTGGCGTCACAGTTCTGACCTGAGAAGCCTGGAGAGGACAGGACATAATGTTAAATACACATATATTACACACTGTAGTTTTTAAATCAGCCCCATCTCAACAGAAGGGGTCATGTTACATTTTCATGAACAGAGGAGCAATATTTCCTTGGCTTCAAGTTCCTTGTTGTCCACATCATTAAGGACCTATCATGGTCCAAACACACCAACACAGTCGTGAAGAGGGCTCGACAATGCCTATTCCCCTCAGGAGGCTGAAAAGGTTTGGCATGGGACCTCAGATCCTCAAAAAGTTCTACAGCTGCAGCATCAAGAGCATCCTGACTGGTTGCATCACCGCTTGGTATGGCAACTGCTCTGCATTCGACTGCAAGGCTCTACCGAGGGTAGTGAGTACGGCCCAGTACAGCACCGTGGCTGAGCTTCCTGCCATCCAGGACCTCTGCCAGGCGGTGTCAGAGAAAGGCAATAAAAATTGTCAAAGACTCCAGCTACCCAAGTCATAGACTGTTCTCTCTGCTACCGCACAGCAAGCGGTACCGGAGCGCCAAGTCTGGGACCAAAAGGCTCCTTAACAGCTTCTACCCCAAGCCATAAGACAGCTGCACAGTTAATCAAATGGTTACCCGGACTATTTGCATTGACCCCCATATTTTATTAGTATTTACTCTTATTTTTTTCACTGACTCGCACAGGCTAGATGTACACTCACTTGACTCTAACCACACACTCACACATACTACACTGACACTCCAACACACACACACACACACACACGGACCACACACACATGCATATTGACGCCACAAACACACATTCCTTCACGCTCTTCACATATACTGCTGCTACTCTCTGTTTATTATCTATGCATAGTCACTTTACCCCTACCTACATGTACATATTACCTCGACTAACCCATACCCCTGCACATTGACTCGGTACTGGTACCCCTAGAATATAGCCTCATTATTGCTATTTTATTGTGTTACTATTTTTCCTTTAGTTTATTTAGCACATTTTTCTTACTTACTTTTTAAAACCTCTGCATTGTTGGTTAAGGGTTCGTAAGTAAGCATTTCACGGTAAGGTAAACACCTGTTGTATTCGGAGCATGTGACAAATACAATTTGATTTGATATCAAGGAAGCTTATTCTATTTCTGAGTATTTTTTGCATCACTCTCTTTGCTTTGTTTTTCCTAGTTTCAAAATTGCCTGGTTGGATCCTTTCAAAACAAGGGGAAACTCTTTTACAGTTAAAGCAGTCAACGGCCTCCTTCTTCAGAGGGGAACGAATGGCAGCGGCGGCAGCCCTCCTTTGGTCTGTATCAGTCAGAACAAACAGCCAGCCAGACCACAGCTTCCCTTCATATAACAGCAACAATCCTGCTCTGGCATTACACAACACACCACCACAGTATTGTCTGGCAGCCTGGCTGCATAAGAAAATAAAAGGGACATTTAGGAGGTTATACTGCCAATTTTGTGTAGGTAGAATCTGAGCACCATTGGATTGTTGACAATGCTACTACTTCTCTTGATTCACAATTATTTATCTTTGGCAGTGGCGTTTCTGTGAGAGCCATGTTTAACGGCCAAAACAGTGTGTGAGGCACAAAGAGAGTGGTGTGGTGCTTACTGGGAGCTCAGTGGAGGTCTAGCTCAGTCTGGCGTTGGAGCAGGGCAGGTTGGAAGTGGTGACGTGTGGGGAGTAGAGAGAGGGGAGAGGACGACCAGTCGTGGTAACCCTGTCTACAGGACTAGAAGGCTCTGTTCCGAGGATGTTTTCATTCAGCCATTTCCTCACGATAAGGCCCAATGGCTTCCTGCTCCCCTCTGTTCACACAACTCGCACTGTGGAGCCACTACAAACAGCTCACTAGGCCTGGGTGATATATCAAATTAATTTGAATGTATGTTTTTGCGCGATATTCCAAATGCCTGCATCGGAAGAATCTAGTTCTGTAAAAAATGTTGAGCGTTTATGTCCACTTGTTCTCATGTTGTCTTTTTGGTCTCGTCTCCTTCGTTCCTTCTGTGCCATGTGCAATGACTGTAGGCTGTGCACACCTTCCCATTTACACACGCACACCAAGCCCCTCCACCTGCCACTCACAACAACAAAGATGAGAGATCACTTCTTCCTCTCTGGCAAGCGGTTTCAACTCGCTATTTGCATTTGAGGTTTGGTCCAACAGAATCGGTCATATGGACACCGAAACACATTGAGACATTATTTTACAGTAATAGAGGAGAAGTTAACCTTTCTAACGATAACCTTTTTGTGTTTCAACTCTTCAAATTGCACACAGGGCAGACACCACTAAAACAGGACAATCAATGAACATTGATTCAGGAATATGTATCCTCAGTTTGTTGCGTATGGCATTGTGGTACCACTAGCAGCATTTTAGCCAAAGACTGTTATACTAGCAGTCTAGTCTGTGTTTTATAAATGTGCAATAAGCATAAAACACAACTATATAAGGAATGTGCAACTCATTCTCATTCTGAGAAATAAGGTAGGCCACTTGATTTCAACATCATAGCATGCTGTTCAAACAGTTGGAGACGGCCATAAGGGTGTGTTCATAATAATTCAACTATTCTACCTTGTTAGCTAGCAAATAGATCCAAGTTAGCTAAACTTGAAATATAAAGATTAGCTGGCCACTCACTAGCATGTGGGCTTGTGCTTGAGAGAGAGTTTATGAGACCTGTGTTAATTTTCTATAATACCCGTTATAAGAAGTTAGTTATTATTAGTGAATGTGCATTATGCATGGTTCTGGTTACATTTGTAACAAAAAGGGCATTTTCATAGACAGACTTGAAAGCCAGATCGGTGATTATTGCAAAAAAGCCGGTTACACTATTTTGATAAAATAAATACATTATTAGTGGACCTTATGGTTGTGGAAGGCTTATATTTATATAATTTCACAAGCGGACTGGGATATGTTCCGGGTAGATGGCGAAAATAATTTGGACGAATACACTGAAACGGTGACTGAGTTTATCAGGAAGTGTTTAGGAGATGTTGTGCCCACTGTGACTATTAAAACCTACCCTAACCAGAAACCGTGGATAGATGGCAGCATTTGCGCAAATTTGAAAGCACGAACCCACCGCATTTAACCATGGCAAGGTGACTGGGAATATGGAAGAATACAAACAGTGTAGCTACTCACTCCGCAAGGTAATTAAACGGAGAAAACATCAGTATAGAGACAAAGTGGAGTCGCAATTCAACGGCTCAGACACGAGACGTATGTGGCAGGGTCTACAGACAATCACGGACTACAAAAGGAAAACCAGCCACATCGCTGACACCGACGTCTCGCTTCCAGACAAGCTAAACACCTTATTTGCCAGCTTTGAGGATAACACAGTGCCACCGACACGGCCCACTACCAAGGACTGTGAGCTCTCCTTCTCCGTAGCCGACATGAGTAAGACATTCAAGCTTGTTAACCCCCGCAAGGCTGCCGGCCCAGACGGCATCCCTAGCCGCGTCCTCAGAACATGCGCAGACCAACTGGCTGGTGTGTTTACGGACATATTCAATCTCTCCCTATCCCAGACTGCTGTCCCCACATGCTTCAAGATGGCCACCATTGTTCCTGTACCCAAGAAAGCAAAGGTAACTGAACTAAATGACTATCGCCCCGTAGCACTCACCTCTGTCATCATGAAGTGCTTTGAGAGACTAGTCAAGGATCACATCACCTCAACCTTCCCTGTCACCTTAGACCCACTTCAATTGGCTTACCACCCCAATAGATCCACAGACGATGCAATCGCCATCACACTGCACACTGCCCTATCCCATCTGGACAAGAGGAATACCCATGCAAGAATGCTGTTCATTGACTACAGCTCAGCATTCAACACCATAGCACCCTCCAAGCTCATCATTAAGCTCGAGGCCCTGGGTCTGAACCCTGCCCTGTGCAACTGGGTCCTGGACTTCCTGACGGGCCGCCCCCAGGTGGTGAAGGTAGGAAACAACATCTCCACTTCGCTAATCCTCAACACTGGGGCCCCACAAGGGTGCGTGCTCAGCCCCCTCCTGTACTCCCTGTTCACCCATGACTGCGTGGCCAAGCACGCCTCCAACTCAATCATCAAGTTTGCAGACAACACAACAGTAGTAGGCTTGATTACCAACAATGACTAGACAGCCTACAGGGAGGAGGTGAGGGCTCTGGGAGTGTGGTGCCAGTAAAATAACCTCTCACTCAACGTCAACAAAACAAAGGAGATGATCGTGGACTTCAGGAAACAGAAGAGGGTGCACCCCACTATCCACATCGACAGGACCGCAGTGAAGAAGGTGGAAAGCTTCAAGTTCCTTGGTGTACACATCACTGACAAACTGAAATGGTCCACCCACGCAGACAGTGTGGTGAAGAAGGCGCAACAGAGCCTCTTCAACCTCAGGAGGCTGAATAAATTTGTCTTGGCACCTAAAACCCTCACAAACTTTTACAGATGCACAATTGAGAGCATCCTGTCGGGCTGTATCACCGCCTGGTACGGCGATTGCACCGCCCGCAACCGCAGGGCTCTCCAGAGGGTGGTGCGGTCTGCCAAACGCATTCCCGGGGGCAAACTACCCGCCCTCCAGGACACCTACAGCACCCACAATAACATCTGCTACACACGTGTATGTGACAAATACAATTTGATTTGATTTGATTTATTTGACCTTTAATTGTACAACAAAGCTTATTTAGAGAAAACATTGAGATATATATTGTGAATCGACCATATATTATTTTTTTTTGCAATTATTTTTAGGCCATATCACCCAGCCCTACAGCTCACACACACACAGCACTGTGGAGCCACTACACACAGCTCACACACACAGCACTGTGGAACCACTACACAAAGCTCACACACACAGCACTCTGGAGCCACTACACAAAGCTCACACACAGCACTGTGGAACCACTACACAAAGCTCACACACACAGCACTCTGGAGCCACTACACAAAGCTCACACACAGCACTGTGGAGCCACTACACAAAGCTCACACACACACAGCACTGTGGAACCACTACACAAAGCTCACACACACAGCATTGTATAACCACTACACAAAGCTCCCTCCGCCCGTACTCACATCATAACATCATCCTGACCAGCCACTAGAGAACCGTACCACTAGTTTATTTCACAGCTGTTTTAGATGTTTGGCTTAAGTTGGATAGACTGGTGGAGAAAACACTAAAGCAGCCCCTAAGTGGAAATGGATTGCACAACTTGAAAGTTCATACATGGTCAAATCCTAACTTAATATAATCTCACATAACTCAAAATGTCCCATAGTTAAATGGCCTGATTGTTAATCGTTCTGGATACAATCGTCTGCTTAATGACTAAAATGTAATGTACAGTGCCTTCAGAAGGTATTCATACCCCTTGACTTATTCCACATTTTGTTGTTACAGCCTGAATTCTAAATGGATTAAATATATTTGTTTTCTCACCCATCTACACACAATACCCCATAATGATAATTTGAAAACATGTTTTAGAAATGTCTTGAAAATGAAATACAGAAATATCAACATTTGCCCAAAACATAATTCCACTTGGACATTATGAGGTATTATGTGTAGGCCAGTGACCAAAAATCTCAATTTAATCCATTTTAAATTCAGGCTGTAAAACAACAACATTTTGAAAAGGGGTAGAAATACTTTCTGAAGGCACTGTAAATGTAGGCTTCGGCCCATAGTGGATCAGATGGGACAACATTAAACAGAACAGTACCTGGAACACAGGAGCATTCATAGGTGGTGTCTCCCTTCTGGACGCAAGTGCCCCCATTGTGGCAGGGGGAGGGATTGCATGGTAGGTAGCGGGTATCGCAGTGCTTGCCCGTATACTCCTGGGGACACTGGCAGCGGTAGGTGCCCACCTCGTTCACACACACGCCTCCATTCTTGCAGGGTGAGGGGCTCTGGGCACACTCATTGACGTCCTGCTTGCAGGTCTGGCCATAGAAGAACGGGGTGCAGGAGCAGATAGAGTGGGACTCAAAGGGGGTGCACTGCCCGCCGTTGGCACAGGGATTAGAGGCACAGGGGTCTGCCTGCTGGCACTGCTTCCCTGAAAGAGGCAGACACACATCTTGTAAATAAAATCATGATTTTGATCTTTATTTACATAGACAGCTCCTTGTTTTGTTTTATGTGCTACAATTAGTTGTAACCATGGTCAGTTTTAATATTTTAAAGAACAGAAGACCGGTTAGTAATGCTATTTGTTACTACTAGAGTATTCAGCAGTAGTAAATATGACAGTGTTTACCTGACCAGCCAGGGGGACATCTACACTTGTACTCTCTGAGGTTGACCAGGTCGCAAGTGCCACCATTCCGGCAGGGTGAACTGAGACAGGCGTTGTCGATGGGCGTCAGACATAGGCGGTCCGTGAAGCCTGGCCGGCAGAAACACGTGAAGTCCACTGAATTCCCACGGGGCACCACGCGACACGAGCCGCCATTTTTACATGGAGAGTAGGTGCAGGGGTCCCTGTGCTGACAACTGTTCCCCACGTAACCATCCCGACACCTGGAAAGAGAGAGAGAGAAAGAGAGAGAGAGAGAGAGAGAGAGAGAGAGAGAGAGAGAGAGAGAGAGAGAGAAAGGCAGGGTGAGTCAGCAAATAATAATAGCACTAAGGGTTAAGGAAAAGTTGTATTCAACAGGTATGGACTGACAACAAAACCCATAGCGCTAAATGTATTTTTTTAAGTTAACACGAGTCAAGCATGTGTGGCCAGTGCAATGCAACCTGTCTTTGTCTGTTTTAGCAGATGGAAGATATGGGAAAGCAGCAAGAGTGAAAGCAAATACGTACTAGTTGGCATCCACTTTATTACTTTCACCTCTGATGTTTTCAGAGGTCAGTGCAAACAAGGAGAGGAAGCCACTTTAGGCTATTGAGATGTTCCTATTGTGTGCTCATCAATATAAACCTTCAGCAGCCTGGGAAACAGCATCAGCCTGATACTAACTAAGTAACTAACTAGTCCCTAAGTAACTAACTAGTCCCTGCTCTCTGTGAAAGACGATCTGAGGGCTCAGTCAGGATGTTCTCTCTCTCTATCCAGCCGACTGTTTTTACAACGCAGCCATGAGAAACTATGCAGCTAAACAGCACATTTGCCTTTTCACTGTTGTCCTTTCAGACAATGTGTTTTAGGCCATAAAACATTGACTGCAGGACATGGGGGGCAGGGGGTGGGACAGGAGGCATCATCCACCCCTGTGATGTTTCTCACAGGTCCTCTTAGAGTCGTAAAGTGGCCCCCAGCAAACGGTTCCCAGAGAGAATGTGAGATTCCACAGTGTGCCATCACAGCAGCAAGATTTGTGACCTGTTGCCACAAAAAAACGAGCAACCTGTGAAGCACAAACACCATTGTAAATACAACCCATATTTATGTTGATTTATTTTCCCTTTTGTACTTAAACTATTTGCACATCATTACAACATTGTACATAGCCATAATATAACATTTGAAATGTCTCTATTCTTTTGAAACTTTTGTGAGTGTAATATTTACTGTTAATTTCTGATTGTTTATTATCTATTTAACTTGCTTTGACAATGTAAACATATGTTTCCTATGCCAATAAAGCCCCTTGAATCGAAATTGAATTGAGAGAGAGAGAGAGAAAGAGAGAGGCAAAGAGAGAAGAAGAGAGGGAGGAAGAGAGTGGGGGACAGCGTTCTCCGCGTCAGTGGAGATGGATTCACACATTTACTATTACAATGACAGGGCATGGAGAGTCCCCCGAGGCGACACAAGGTCAAATCCCAACAAAGGGCCACACACACAATGTGCACACAGACTGCACAGACACACAAGCACACGCACACACAGAGAAGTGGTCAGAGAGGTTAGTGAGATCAGGGAGGTGGTCAGGGTCAGTGGAAAGAGATAACCCACCACTGTCAGTTTGGAACCTCACTGCTACCAAATGCTCCCATTTGTCATCCAGAGGGTTTCTGTACTGTTTTCCACATGGTTGGAGGGTGGTCATTATGGATAGACTGACTCCCTTCATCAACACTACACAACAACATTGAACTGGACTCTGACGAGCTGACTGAATTTTTGTACATATTCCAGTCTCATTTTTGACAAAAGTAGCCACCATGGCCCCCTTCAACAGCTCTTAGCGAGAAATATGCTCCACTCCACTTTTTTCAGGCTCATTCATTCAAAAGGACAAGGCAGTGTCTATGCCTGTCTTTGAACTCAGAGATAACATTATGGAGACTTCAAAGCAGTGTTCCTCCACCTCAATGCCCTGTATTCTTCTACTGTATAGTCTCTTTCTCTCTCTCGCTCTCTGACAGCCAGAGACAAGGGATATAGAGAGATAGCACTGCAAACTCTAGAGCCACACAGACACTTTTGGTATCAGTCATCCTCCTAGTGAAACTTTCACTAATTCCTTGTCAATTCCTCCAAGGCAAAACAAAGAAAAATTAAACACAAAAACAATGTTTTAAGTGAGAAGTAGGGATTGTTCTGAAGCCGAAAAAGAAAGGAAACTCAATACAGTCCCTAAAAAGCTGAGTCATTTTTATTGGAGGTTGTTGATTATAGCTCCTGTGTCTCATTCTGGGGGATTCCATAGTATTAGAATGTCTCAGCAACCTTTAAATACCGTTAAAAGTTCTGTCACTCCAAAATACTATAACATAGACAACTATGAGTCTATTACTATTAGCCTTAATGGGGCTGACTAAATCACCTCCCCAAACATTCCCAGGGGGCCGTTGGTTGTGTGAGCGGGGCTGGGGGCCCAGGGCCAAGCAGAGGCCCCCTGTGGGGACAGACGTGTGTTTAGACAGGGTCTCTCTCTCACGGGATTAGGGTGGCCAGGGAAAGAAAACATCACATGCTAGGCTGGGCACTAGCTACACAAACATTAAGGGCCCGATGGCATGTCACGCTGCTTTAATGGTAGCCTAGGCTACCTCTAGTTTCCAAGCACTGGGATATACTATGGAATCATCCCTCTTGGGTTACAGGGAGCATGTTTGTCAGGTTTTTTCTAGAGAGATCTGGAGTGCAAAGGAGGAGAAAAGGCCATCTACTAATGTCCCAACATCACCATATGCTATTTTAGGACTATTCTAAATCTAAACATGATCAAATGTATTTTCCTGTGGTGAGAAGAACACATGCTCAGTTCATCCTTGCTCTCCAGAGTTTCACTACAAGCCCTTTAATTGTTCAGATAATTCACTATCTTTTTTAATTATGACAGAGATGTATAAGATTGTAGAAGCATTCTGCCAGGCAGCATTCATAGCAATGCAGTTCTGAAATAGTGAGAGTCTATAAGCCAATCCAGGTCTCCCAGAGAGGGGGACAGTGCAGACATAGCGGGAGCCTGGTGCTGGGGTCGTGAGGCAGAGCATGCGTCACACCATCGTTCCCAAAAGGCTGCAGCCACGGAGCAGGTGTTCATGTAAATGAGGGGACGGCAGCTGCTGCCTGGCCACCGCTCACTCACCCCTCCCTCCATCACCCATTTCTGCGCCCTCCATGCCCCTCTTCATCCCCCCAGGAGAATAGCTGGGGACTGGGCTTCAGGCATCTGAATGCCCCCCCTAACCCTCAGCCCTGGAGCAGTGGAGGGGGTAGGATGAGTGGCTCCATTGTTTCTCCTCCTCATTCAGATCTGACCACAGGCAGGCCGGGAGCCTCCAAGCTGAGAGTGTGCATTCAGCTGTTAAACCTTCTCCTCTCTGTTCCTTCTTCCCTCTGTCCACAAACAAGTGTTTCCTCTCTCCTTTCCATCTGGCCTCTCTCTCTCTCTCTTTTTTTGGTCCTTCGTTCGGTCTTCTTTTCACTTCCTCCTTATGGAGCCTTCGTACGACTGACCGTCCTTTTACTCCCCCCTCCTCCATGTACCTTTTTTCACTCTCTTTCCCGCCAACTGTTCCCCCCCCCCCCCTCTCTCTTTTCATGGCGTCCATAGGGTTGACTGGTTTTGTAAGCCACCATATTAGGATTTATGACTCTCTCTCGACTGGGTCTTGGCTTCAAAAACCTCAGTTTGAACCTGGGTGTTACTTTTCACTGGTCAACCCAAACACACTTAAACGACGCAGAGAAACACAAACAAAAGCTGTCTGAAAGAAAGTAAATTGAACTGGTTTTGGAGGGGAGGGGGGGATGGAGGGTTAGTGGGAAGCCAGTGAAGAGAGGAGGTTGCTGGTTTGGGCTGTGTTGTGAGGACAGGCAGGTCTCTTGGCCCCTGCTTGTGTGTTCGTGTGTGAGAGACGTTGGGCTGTTTGTGAGAACAGGCAGGTCTGGGCCTGGTTTAAAAATCTGGTGTGAGTTTTTGCAGAGCTCCGTAAAGTGAGGCTGCCAAGAGCCCCCCCCCCCCCCCCCGCCCCCCGCCCCACTCGTCTCCTGTACCTGTCCCTGAACCACTGGACTTCAGTCCTCAATGGAGGCTCTTGGCAGCCTCACTTCACGGAGCTCTGCAAAAACTCACACCAGCTTTTTAAACCAGGCCCAGACCTGCCTGTTCTCACAAACAGCCCAACGTCTCTCACACACGCACACGCAAACAGGGGCCAAGAGACCTGCCTGTCCTCACAACACAGCCCAATGTCTCACACTGGGGCCTCAAAGACAAATACATAAAGCACCCACTCCTCTGCCTCGGTCCACGTGGCACTCTGGCCCTGGCGTTTGAACAGAGTCAACCTCAGCGCGCACTAGCCAAGAATGCTAACAGTTTGCTCTTTAACTTAGCGAGAGGTCGACGAATAGGCAGACAGCACAAAATACGTTTTACAGGACACACACGGCTAACCGTCTTAAATGGCTCACACAGACTATAAAAGGGCAAAACAAAAGACACACAGCTACTCTTTTATGGAGTCTTTAGTTTGCACCGTTCAAAACAAACAGTGAAAAGCAGCTGCTACAACAGACTCCTGGCCCCGTCATCTAGAGTATGCTAATCTTGGCAGCAGGTAAACTATCTGCTAGAAAGTTAAATAAAGAAAACCTGAAAAGAGGAGAAGAATCAGAAGCTGTTCAAATATCAGGTGTGTGGCGGGCCGGAGTGGTGTCGTATAACAGGGGAACCTCTGTAATCAGGCTTATACTGTTGTTGTTATCCTGTGACTGTCGTTCCTCCCTGCCTGCCCCAATAGTCTCCATTGTCCTGCTGAGATTGCTTTTCTTCTTGGCCACAAGTAGCCCGTGGCAAAGGGTCTGTGTGTGTGCTCGTGTGTCTGTGCTGCAGTGTGCAGCGGGCGGCCGAGGATCAGCCCAGGCGGGGAGCAGATGTTGTCATAACATCTGACCTCAGGAGCAGACACCACTCTGGGGGTTTCCCCACTTTTGGCCCAATCTGCCATCTGTCACTCTCTGAGGTCACCACGCACAGAAAGGCACTGTGCTTTGAAGACACACAGGCACGCAGGCGTACACATGAACACACACACATATACACACACACACACGCACAGAGACGTACAGGCTCCACTCCTCAATACAGCCTACAACAGCCATGGAGCTGTGTTCACCATTCACCTACAGTATTGTACTGTAGTTTCTCTAAAAGGGTCAATCAGACCACGCTGACTAACTGTAATTAGCACAGGGTGGCCGTCCATTCGCATCTGACCACTGAACATCAGCCGTCATTTTCTATTAATTTCCTGACGATTCGGGAAATGTTGAATCGCAAAACTCGTCGACACCCAGCAGATGATTAACTGCGCACGGCAGATGTTTAGGTTGGTCTGTCTGTGCTATAAGACAAAAAGACACTTGACCGGTTCCAATAACATTTTCACAACAACACCATGAATCATTTTGAGAATTTAACCTCTTCTTTTTCCAATTTCAACACAGAATCGAGAAAGTGACAAACTTGACCATTTTGGGCCTCGAGCTAATTAAGTGTTTTTGTTTTTTTACAGTCTGTCTCTCTTTTACATGCCTCCTCCACCTCTCTCTAAACTGCCTCCAGCCTGGAGTCAAACTGTGATAGGAACACTGTTTTCCCCTGCCTTGTTCCTCTCCACTCTCATTTCCTGTCTGTTTGGTGTCTGTGCCTCTGCTAAGTATCCTTTAGTCTTGTCTGATCTGTTTAAAAGCACTCCCCCAGGGCCTGCTGTGATGCTGTGCCTCAGCCTCTCTCTCTCTAATCGTAGCTTCCCAGCCCACATCTGGTAGCGTTCATTAGAGGCCTGTTTATTTGGCCCTATTACTGACAGAGCCCATGGGAAAGGAACCACTCCCCCAGGGACAGGGACACAACACAGAGCAAGGGGCAGGAGGAGAGACAGGGGGAGGCAGGAGGGAGACAGGAGCAGCAGGGGAGTTATGGAGAGAGACAGGAACAGGGCCAGGGAAGGAGGCTGCCTGGAGGACTTCTGACTCATGCTGCCTTCTCCTAATGACTAGTGGTGGTGTTGCTCCTGTTTAGCCTGCTGCTTTACAAGGCTAGGAACCTCTTAAGTGATTAAAGGTGGCTGAAGGTGTGTGACACGGAAGCAGACCCTGACGAGGTAGTTCCTGTACAGCGTACACTAAGCTCAGTGTTGTGTTTGGTTGAGGTCTACCTATGAGAAAATGAAGTAATTCTAATGCATTTTATGAAGTTTAGGTGATTCAAACAGATGCCCTTGGCTTTAGTTTAGACATCATTTCAGACTGTTTGTTGCCATTTTTCAAACTTTTTTAAAAGGACTCCTTATCACTCCATCCAGAAGAAAGCCATTAACTTACATTTTGTGATCTCTTTGTGAAGAGTATCCTGTGTGAATTTGTGTGTGTGGAAGTTCATAGAACACCTGCCACTGTGAGGCAGAAGTATTCTGTTTGGAGTTGAATGGCAAAACCACAAGTAATCATGGGTATTATGGAGCGTGCTGCCTTGTGGGTAATGCAAGTCCCTTTCAGTTGTTCGGTTATGATCCGAAGACAGGTGGTCGGGCTCAAATTCATCAAATTAGGAAATGTTCCTCTATTGTTGTTTTCTTTCCTGCCCCGCTGCACTCACGTACACGTACATGCACACACACAGACTGCCTCGCTGTCAGTCATATTAGTCGGTGATCAAAGTGTATGTGAATTTTTTTCTTTGTCATGTGTCACCCCTCAGGCTCAAATACTGTATCTCTAATCCAGCGTTGAAGTTGCCCAACATCAAGTCACTTCAATCAGTCAGAAGTCAGAACAGAACAGAACAGAAAGCGGCTCAGTTCAGCTCCTCCTTCTCTCCACTGAGGTTTGTGCCAAAGGGATGCCGACCCAGGCCCGGCGGCCCATGAAAGCCCAGGGCCCTGTGTGATGATATGATCACATACAATACAGCACCTTTTCTTCCCCCGGTCCTTCGAGGCTGTTTCCTGTGTCTGAATGAAAGGATGGGTGTGGGGGGTGGGGGACTAAAATGCAGGGACTCATCTGCCTCGTAGCAAACAGAGGTTGCATTGAAGCATCTCTGGCCAGGACCAGGGCTGGCTTTCATTCATGATGACTATACTATGGTCAGTCACCACCACACCACTCATGCCAGGGAATAAATGGGCCTGCTTCTTATTTCACTTCAGTCAGAGAGAGAGTTTTAACACACACGTAGCTAGGCCATCTAGCTAGCTATCCAAAGGGGAATTCATTAAAGCCTGGACAAACACTTGAGACATTGATTATCCGAGGTTATATCAGTTCCAGCTCTTTGAATACAGTGCCTGCAGATTAGAACCTGTCATGGAAACCTTCGCCTCAGGCGCTAACTGGGCTATTTATGTCTTTCTGAAGGAGGGGAGACTGGCTGTTACTGCAGAATACTTATTTCCCCAGGCAAGCAGGCTCACAGACAGGCAGCACAGGGGACATCTATGCTAAGGTGTGACTCTCCAATTACTGAGGCCTCAACTTAGCATGCATCATCACATCAACAGCAAGCTGGAGACTATAGTGACATATTGGAGTGGCGGGATGGAGACAGGCTGTTACTGCAGAAAACTTTTCATCAGGCAAAATTAGTGCACTACATAGGGAATAGGGTCCCATTTTGGACACAACCTGAGTGAATGGGTCTATCTACAGTACAGGACAGGTTGATGAGTGACGGACAGACAGCAATATTACCCAAAATGCCCTGGCTCAGTCTCATCCATACCACATCACCTCCAAATCTCCCTTCTCCAGTGTGGGACTAAGCCCTCCTCTGAAGTACAAGAGGTCACGTGACACACTGTATCAATGGCCGGTCCAAAACAATTAAGACATTTTGAGGCGTCTCTTCTGTTTGCCTGCCGAATGAGGTACAGTATGTGAACCTTGGGCACGGCAGCCCTCTCCAGACCGTGTACCTCTCATCTCTCTGGCTGAGGCTCTGAAGCTAAGCCCCTTGATTCTAGCCATCCCAGAGAGTGGATCATATCTCTCTCTCTCTGGCTTTTATTGGCCCTACACTGCACTGCTTTCTGTTACTGTCATGTCAGCTTACTAGATGAGAGGCCTCCTTCAGATAAACTACCCTTGCCT